GCGGCCACGGGCGCGCCGTCGGGATCGCAGACGCCGCTGCCGGCCGGCGCACACCAGTGGTGCTTTACGCCCGACGAAGTGTTGAGCACGCCGTCGGTGCTCGACGGGCTGTCGCCCGAGGAGGAGCGGCTGCGGCGGGCCAAGGGCGTCAACTTTGTGTACCAGGCGGGCGTCATGCTCGACCTGCCGCAGATTACGCTCTGGGTGGCCGGCGTGTTTTTCCACCGCTTCTACATGCGGTCCAGCATGGTGGAGGAAAAGGGAGGCATACATCACTATGTAAGTTTTACGCAACGCACGCGACAGCCGCCGAACTAAGGGGGTGAAGGAGAGCTGACAGTGGACGCGCAGAACATTGCCGCCACGGCGCTGTTCCTCGCCAACAAGGTCGAGGAAAACTGCCGCAAGACAAAGGACATCATCATCGCCGTCGCCAAGGTGGCGCAAAAGAATGCCAAGCTCATCATCGACGAGCAGAGCAAGGAGTACTGGCGCTGGCGGGACAGCATCCTGACCTATGAGGAAGTGATGCTCGAGCAGCTGACATTTGATTTGATGGTGGACAACCCCTATCGCAACCTCTTTGAGCTCCTCGGCAAGCTCGACATTGTGCACAACAAGCCGCTGCGGCAGGCAGCCTGGGCCTTTTGCAACGACGCCTGTCTCACCGCGCTGCCGCTGCTCGTCGAGGCGCGCGACGTGGCCGTGGCCAGCATCTTCTTCGCGAGCGCCCATGCCAACCAGCAAATCGACGACGTCGGCGGCGCGCCCTGGTGGCGCTACCTGCGCGGCGACGAGGCGCGCTGCGCAACTGCAGTTGAGGTCATGCGCCAGTTCTACACGGAGAACCCCCTGCGCAAGCAGAACCCGTCGCTGCCGTCGCCGGCGTTTCACCTCGAGCACACGCGCCGCCGCCGCGGGACGGACGGCACGGGCAGTCAAAACGACCCGATGCTGTCGCCCAACGATGTCAGCACGCCCCGCGACAGGGACAGCCACAGCCCGGCGGCACGCACCAATGGCGACGGTGCCGACAGGAGGCGCGGGGAGCCGCCGCGGTCGCAGCCGGACGGGGACACGCCCCTGTCGGCGGCCAAGAGAAAGGAGCTGGATGGTGGCGTGGCGCTGGATGACGGCGGGCGGTCTGAAAAGCGCGCTAGGTTGTCCGAGGACGAGGGGGAGGTGGCAGAGTAAGAGAGGCGCATGGGGGCTTTGGGGGAGGGCATTTAACTTTCTTCATTAATAATTCTCTGTAACGGATATGCATAGCGGCGTTGGGTATACCTGGGATTTATTATTTCACTGCTACAGCGTCCCCCGTGGCCGGCGGGGGCTTTTCAGGGGAGGTTGGGATGGGGGGCTGGTCTGAGAGTATGTTGATGTATTGTTTATGAAGGCACTATTTTTTGGAGAATAAAGGAATAAAGGAAAGCGAAGATTACAGACGAGAATAGGCAGGCAATCGATCTGTACTATATAACGTCACGGCTTTACGCATTGCTTTGGTGTAATGCAGCAGAAGGAGACCCCCATCATCATACGTCGACGTGACGACCTAGGAAATCATGGAGACCGTCACACATTGGAGGGGAGCAATCTGAGTGTATTTCTTGAAACATGTCATGAACTTTACGGAAATGGGAGACTCTTAATATCCCGCGGCAACAGCGGCTGACGCATGAGTATTCTCAAGTGTCGCGCTGTGTTCTGTCTCTGTCCTCTGGCTCTGGACCGAGACAGGGACGTACTCTCGGTCTTCCATCCCAATTCCGTACTTGTTGAGCAAGTAATGGAAATCGTTCAGGATACTAATACAATGTTAGTTATAAATTCCCTCCAAAGCCTCACACGGACAATACTTACTCAGTACGGCTTTGGGCCTTTGGAAAACATGCCGAGTACATGAAGTTTGTCTTTGCGCTGTACAGCAAGACTCGGTCATCGGCCTCGTCATCAGGGTATATATCCGATCCATGACTGGCTTGTTCAGAAAACACAGTCATGTATCTGGAAATGTAGCCGTTGCTGCTGAAGGCATGTCTGGCTGCCCTCCAGATTCCCAGCTCCATCTCATGGTGGCCGTAGTAGGCGGCACAGTCAAAGATCCACGGCTCGCCCGTCGCGGCTTCAATCTTCACATTTCCCTCCCACAAGTCCCCATGGATCAAGGTCGGCGTGATCTTGTTGCCGTTCTCCTGGAGCGCACCAAGCAAACGGGGAATCAAGTGGGACTGGACCTTGCGGTACGCCTTTTCCAGCGCAGGCCATGCACCGTTGGCTTCGGTGTCTTGGCGGTGGGCTTCGGCCAGCAGCTTGGAAAAGAACGAGACCCAGCTGCCGTCCCAGCCGACGGATTGCAGGCGCGCTCCGTCGAATGTCTGGACGGGGAAGCCGAACCGGCCGCCCGTGTCGGATCGGGCTTGGCTTCGTCGATGCAGCTGAACGACTCGCCTTGCCAACGTGTCCGCATCCACAGTGGATTCCGGACTAAACTCTTTGAACTCCATGAGCAGGAAATACCAGTCTTTTACAGAGTCTGCCAGTTTCCCCCAAGCGAGAGGCTTCACAACAAACTCCGGTGACAGCTTCCAGAGCTCCGTCATGCCGGTGAACTCTCCCAAAAGCTGCTGCTGACCTATTTCTCCCGGCACACACTTCAAGAAGTATGACACCTCTGTGCCTCTCTGAACAGTCACCACCTTTGCAGTAAATGACCATATAGAATCGCCGTGTCCTTCACAATGGGCGTGTTCAAGCCCTTGAGGCAACACTAGATCTGTCAGTGCTGCGCACGACACGATAGCTCTGGGATCGGGCGTAACATGCCGGCAAGTACGGCCGCATCAACAGGAAACTGGCCGTGGAGAAAGGCTTGTTTCATTTCATCTACATCGCTCTGAGCGGCTGAAATGTGTTCGAGCGGGTCTGCGGCAACTGTGCTGAGACTGCCGGGAGATGCCATTTCGGCGACACTGAAGCTGAAAGAACACGGAGCGATCTCGTGCGGGACAGGGGACATGTCGACCTTGGTTCGACTGACAAGGCTGCAGGTTGCATATGCGGGGACAACGCAACAGTGGGCGGGCGCCGCTGCTCATGATGGCTCATTGGGCGGGCGGGTGGTGACGGTGTTGGCAGTACCCATCTACCATCTACAATGGCATCTACAGTGGACTTACAAGAAAATTGCTCGGATCAGTAGGTATGCAAGGTGGGTTGTATGTCCTCCCCTCTGCCTGTCGAACCCCAGCCGACTGTCACTATCACGGGTTCTATAAGAATAAATCCGCCGGTCTAGCACTGGGACATCCTGGTATTGCCGAACACCAGGACCCAGATCAACACGGCGGATCTTCTACTGATATGGCGGCCCAATTAAGTTTTCTGCAAGCTCCTCTCGTCCAAGAGCCCCCCCCCCCCCAGTACAGCCCAAGTCCAACATGCCGTTCTACGGGCACAAATTCGACATCATATATGTGGTAGAGAACCGAACGGCTTCTGGTCACGTAAACAATGAAACAGAGATGGGCATACTCTCTGCAGAGTACAGTCCCCCGTTAGCTATGATGAAGGCTGGCCGGTGACTAGGCCTGAGCCCTCGACTTCCTCTCTCATTCTTCGCTGATAGCCAACGGTGATTTGCCAATACAGTGAGACGCCGCAGAGTGACATGATCAGGCCGAATATGGTAAAACACCAACCTGGTCCGATGTGGTCAATCATTATTTGCAGGATGGAGAGGAACGCGGCCGCAAGGGCGCATCGCACAATGTTGGCCGCGGCGGAAGCAGTCGAAGATTGATGGGTGTTCAGATCAGTATTCAAGGCGCCAAGGGCCTAGACTGTTAATTACGCTTTAGTATAAGGGGTCTTTCGGACTCACCACGAATAAGCCAGTGGTAGCGAAGCCCACAAATACTTGCATGATCAAAGGAACCGCCACGTGCTGTTTGTGTCAAGAGTCGCGACTCAGAAGAACAAGGGTGAAGCTCACAGTTCTAGCTTGAATGGCCCAGCCAAAGCCGCATGTAGCCGCCGAAGCGACTCCTACCAGAGCAAAGCTGCTGCGCAGCCGGGCAACCTCGAGCGGGAAGGTAGGGTCCGTTTTCGATTTCGCTTCGTCCACGGTGATTCCGTGGCGCTGGGCAGCTCGCACGTACTCGCGATCGAGGATTTTACCTGGGGCAAGATCAGTACTACATATGTTGATCTGCTGGAGGTAATCTTTTACCCCAGAGGAGGGTGCTAATGAGGCATGCCACTCCAAAAGGAATATATATCAGGCCTGCTTCCAGATCATGATATCCGTAGACATCAATGAACAGCGACGACAAGGACGCCTGGATGCAGCAGTATACCGTGTATGCAATGCCGTTGCAAAGAAGGACGTTGGACAATCGAAATGACGGCAGAATCTTTAGTGACGCCAAGGGATTGAAGAATGCGGCTCTTTTCTTTTTGAGAGTCTCCTCCGCTTTGCGGCTGTCTTGCTGCTCCCTGCCGATGGGGATGAGGCTGCGGTAGATGCCGTGAGGTGGGATGCTGCCATTCCCGACCACGGCTCTAGACGTCTCTGGAAGAGCGATAACGATGAGAGCGAGGCAAAATCCGCCGAGGATGACCAGTATCCAAAAGATCCATTGCCAGCCCAATTTTGCAGCCACGACGCCGCCGAGGATGGGGCCGATTGGTGGTGCCACGTTGGGCCTTGATTTCCCATTTTCAGTGAACGCGCAGTAATACACAGCTGTGAGAAATTTCATGGCTTACCCAACGAGAAGTATCCCGATATAGGATCCCCGGTCCTCCTCGGTCGTAATGTCGGCCATGACTCCATACCCCAGCGAGATGGTGCCGGAGCTGCCTGCGCTCTGCAGCATGCGCAGGACCAGGAGGGCCGGAAAGCTGCTCTGGCACGCCAGCCCGATATTGGCAACGAGATACACGGACAGGGCGAGGATGTAGACCGGGCGCCGGCCGTAGTGATCGGCCGCCGTGCCGAGAAGCGCGGGCACGATGCCGGACACGACCATGTATGTGGTCACGGCGAGGTTCACCAGCTCCACGGTGACGTCGAGTCCCCGCGCGATGGACGTGATGGCGGGGTAGAAGATGAAACTGCTCATGGGCGAGAACATGCCCGAAAAGGCGGCGAGGAAGACGATCCACCGCCTTTGACGGACCGTGAAGACGGTGAATGGGGGCGGTGTTGGCTCCGCACCATTTTCTTCAAAGGCGAGGGTGGTTGTCCCTTTTCTCGATTCTTCCATGCTGATATAGAGGCTGTAAGGAAGGAAAGAAGGTAGAAATTCGAGTTCTTCTTCAACTGCAGGCCAAATGAAAAGACGGAATGCAAAGGGAGTTGTAGAGGCGTAGGCCCCGGCGTTGTCTGCCTTCTTTGTTCACGGCATACTGGAGAGCCCCTGTGAGTTTGTGTAACTGACACGCACAATTGCCAGTTTCTTTGGGTTGATACGCTGGTAAAAGAGAAACGACGACTGATTTGTGAACGCAAAGCGGGGTTTTTGTAGCCAAATGTCTATCCTAAAAGTCTCCTCTGCAGACACCCCTGTATCAGGCTTCGCCTGTGTTCTCTTTCGCTTTTGATCATGCGGAAGATTACCAAAATTACAAAATCAGGTACTGATTTACGCTGAAGATTCACAGTCTAGCACTGCTGTGGTGCAGCTGGTCAAAAGCTTTTCCGTAGTTCATATATATAGACACATAACGCGACGGTTTTCTTCAATGATACTTGACGTTGATATTTAAGTACCATCTTGTCTATCTTATTTCAGAGATTAGTTTATTGCCGACTCTCGTCTCTCATCTTTCGCACACCACTCCTCGACATGCCGCTTAAACGCCTGCAAGTAGTTGGAAAATGTTGTGGTCGAGCACCACGCCACATGCGGCGTCACCACCAGGTTCAGCCTGTCCGCCTCCGCCGCGTCCACCCTGAGCAGCGGGCTGCTGTCGCCCTCTTTCCAAAACGGCCCGGCGGCTGACGGCTCTTGGAGGAACACGTCCGTGGCCGCGCCGCCAATGGTGCCGGCGCGCAGCGCGGCGAGCAGCGCCTCCTCGTCGACGATGCCGCCGCGGGAGACGTTGAGCAGCAGCGCGTGCCGCGGCATGGCGTGCAGTTCTGGCGCGGAGATGAGATGAAGCGTGTCGGGGCCGCGCGGCACGCAGAGCACGACGACGGAGCTCTGGGCGAGAACTTGGGTAAAGGGCACTCGGTCGGCGCTTGCTGATGCACCTTTGCGTGCGGCAATGAGGACTTTCATCCCCAAGGAACGGCACAACTCGGCAATACGACGACCTTTTCCATCCCGGTTAGCAAAAAAAAGAATGGAAAATGAATCGCCAAAAGACAGTCTTCGCTCACCAATCGCCCCATAGCCCACCACACCCACGGTCTCGTCTGTGCAAGTCCTCGGTGGGTTGCCCTCGGGGTCATTGAGAATTGACCTCAAGGAATATTTCTTGGGCCATTCATCAGTCCGCAGCACCGTATTGTGCAGCTGCATCAGATGGCGCCGGCCCGCGAAATACATGGCCAGGACGTGGTTGGCCACCGTCTCTGTGTTGGCATTGGGACAGTTGACGACTTTGATGCCGCGCGCCGCGGCCAACTCTACATCGATGCAGTCGGTGCCGGTCGCAATGGCCACGATGAGCTCCAGGCTGGGCGTGTTGCGAACATCCAGAGTCGAGCCTTTGAGCGGCGTGACCGTGGTGGCGATGATGGTGGCGTCCCGCACCGCCTCTTGAATGGCTTCGGTGGAGGATAATTGGCTGGTCTGGCAAGCGAGCTCGTAGGTGTGCGGCGCGGGGAGCTGGAGCAGGCTTTCAGGGATGGGGACATTCCAGGCATCCAAGGCCACAATTTTGTGGTGCATCGTGAATCGTTTGTCAATTCTTCGTGCACGAGAAGTTGGTTTATATTTGATATGACCATATGACCACCAAGATCAAGGATTCGGGCGCTTTTATGGTTGACGCCTTATCCACAAATCATCGATCAAAAGGCGCGCCACGGACATTGACATCGTTGTCTGGCCTTGTTTGGCCAACCACTCCGAGGATGATGCTGAAACAAATAGTTGTATATTCATTGCCAACAAGGAACCCCGCGTTGTATTTACATTTTCGTAGCCATGCGAAACTTCGCGGTGCGGATGGCAATGGTCGGCCTGGCGCTAATAACACTAGCACGTCCAGATTGTGGCTCAAACACCTCGCCACGTTCCTTAGTTACCCGTCGTTTAATAATTATTGACTTGTTCAGTGGCTTGATCGAAGCCTAGGTATACATACATGCTTCTCCCGATGGCGGGTCAAGTTGGCGCGTGAGCCAAGTTGTGACCTTGGCGGTGGAAAATGCACAGCCGCTCAGTGTCGAAATTTTCTGGTACCCTACATCCATGCGCACGTTTCAATCCGTCCGAATAGCAGAGATGCCATGAAAAGAAGGCAGCGTGCCACTATTCGATGGCCGACGAGCAGACTGTTGTGTCGCGTGCATTTTCTTGTGCTGTTGAGGATCACATCTCTCCTTTGTCATAGTCAAGCAAATACACTAGTACGAATAACTACTTTATTTCCCGGGTAGGTAACTGCTGCCGTCCTGTCATAGAGTTGTCGAAATCGCCTGCTGTAATTTTTCTGTTTTTCATAACTACACAAGAGCTCCCAATCACAATATACATGATTGTGCAGACGTGTTTTTCGTTTGGACAAGCAAACCCTAGTTATGTAGCCTTGCACAATTTTTTCCACCGACGAGAGCCGAAGTGGCGGTCAGGCAATGCAATGACAAGCGAACGCCGAAAATGACTCATCCACATTCATCAATTCACCCAATCACCGTTTCACATACCTTTCCAATCCTTGCCTGCTCGGCCAATTCTCCGTTTGTTCGCCTGGCCAGCCAATCAGCCTCCAGGGAACACGGCGGCTGGCACTGCTGCCTGCATCCAGTGGGGCTCGTGTCACCTCAGATTCTGCCGCCTCCTCCCTCACCGCCCACCACCCACTTCCTATATAATTGCGCGCCGCCGCCGCAACATTTGGGATTTTTCTTCTTTCTTCTTTAGCTCTCTTTGCCTATTGGCTTAGATCAAGTGTAGTATCTGTTCTTTTCAGTTTAATCTCTGAAAGGTCCCCACAAGGGACTGTTTATTGATTATTCTTATTTTTGGTCTCCGGATGGTTTCCTCTGTGCTTGCACATGATTCTTTCCACAGTGTTCCTGGTATTACACTGCCTCCAGGTAACGCGAACCGAACCAAACCTTTCTTTTTTCTTTTCATTGCTTGCGTTTGGCTTGTCCAACGTGGTGAAGAAGAGACACTTAGATGACTGAGATTTCCCGCTGCTCGACTGTTGACTTGCCGCCGCTGAGGCTGCTGTCGCGTGTAAATTTGAAGCTTGAAAATTTGAGGCGAAGCCCCGCGTCAGATCACGGTTGCTGCCACGGCCCATCGCCTCGTGCACCTGTAATAGCGTAAAGACGATTAAATTAAAGCTTCTACTCCTTAGCTTCTGGTCCCTTTTGCTTGACTGTTTGATTTTGGATGCAATCAACACACGTTTCTGTAACCTGGATCTGTTTTGCGTTACATCTTTGGCAAGCTACCGTGCCCCTCCACCTGGCGATCCAAGAAAAAGCTCCCCCACCGTTCGCCGAGGACGCTATTCTCTGCGCAGCAGCACCGCGACATCTAATACCTTGCACGCTCCATCGACCCCCGACGTGGATTGAAGTTTGGCATACACACAATGGCGTCTCTAGGAAGCTATCTCAACAGTAAGTTCTGCACCACCGCCGACCCCGCGCGCCCTGCTGAACTCGGCCAGTGCTTGCGAGCTCAAGCTAACCGCTGCCTCTTTTTAGAAAAGGTCCTCATCGTCACGGCAGACTCGCGGATCCTAGTTGGCACCTTGACTGCCTGCGATAACTCTACAAATATAGTACGTTGGCCATAGACAAACCGGGAGGCGGCTGGCTGCGCTGAAAACTGTGCGACTGGGCGACTCCAGGCGGTGGACAGCCAAACGGAAGCTGCTGGCTAACCTGTCCGCGCTCTAGGTACTCACCAATGCCATTGAACGAATTATCCGCACGCCAGACGACCCCGAACCGTCGGCGATTGACTCCCTCGGTGTGTACATTGTGCGTGGCGACAACGTGTGCTCGATAGGGCTTGTCGACGAGCAGCTAGACGACAGCATCAACTGGACAGAGGTCAAGGGATCGGTGATAGGCGGCATCAAGCACATCTAGCCCGTCGATCACGACTCGGATCGCGATACAACACCATGCTGCCTCCGTGAAGGGCCTGCTGTTAGCTTCAGCCTGCTCATTTTGTTCCTGGAGTTCCTGCTTTTTTTCCGTTTGACATTCTTGTTTCACGACTTGTTTTTACTTTGTTTCAACTGCGCGCAAATAGGGACAGGCGTTTTTCATTTGGCAATGATTTAAAAAAATTGTGGCACAGTTGCGCATACCGCACATGCCAGCGCAAACAAGCAAACACTACTTCACATCCGGCAAAGCTCGCAGCTCGAAGCGTATTCCTAGCCTGAATATACAATACATCTGTAGATTTCTACCGCCCTATACATCGATCTCATTATTTACTCTGCTAGCCCAAAAAGGCGCTTCAGTAGCACCTCCTTGAAGATTTCCTCCCCCGGCGTCCCCACGAGGCGGTAGATGCGGTTGCCCTTGAGGACGCTCAGCCAGCCGTGCTCGTCTCCCTCGACGGCGTCGAGCCGAATAACCTCGGGGTCGTTGCGGGGATCCGCCGACGCGAGAAACGCCGCCTCCGCGGGACGCACCTTGCCGCGGTGGTCGACAATGTGCATGCCGCGCGACCACTGCCCGGCCGTTTCGATGCGAATGTCCTCGGGGCCGACTAGTTTCCACTGCGGGTCACCCTCAGCGGCGAGCGCGTACCATACCGTCATGGGGTCGTGCAGCGAGAGCCCGGCCTCGGTGTCCGGGCCGAGGATGGTCTTGATCTTGGCAAACGCGCCGCCGACAAAGTGCTGCACCCAGGTACCGAGCGGGCTGCCCGAGGCCACGACGGGCGCCATGGTCTCTGAGAAGTACGCGCTCGTGAGCTCGTGCGGCTCGGTAACGTCGAGCGGGCAGAGCACGACGCGCAGCGTCCGCGACAGGCCGGCCGGGTACGGCGGCAGCGTCGTCTGCGGGGTCACGGGCGGCAGCGTGTGGGACGGCGTGTGGGAGCTGAGGGCGAAGATGCGCGCGGCGGCGACGGCGTCGGCGTACGTGTTGAACTCGGCGACGGGGGTGATGTTGCCCTGCACCGTGACGGCGCCGCCCATAACGACGACCTCCTTGGCACGGAGCAGGGTCTCGGGGTCTAGGGACGCGGCTAGGGCCACGTTGGTCATGGGCCCGACGGTGAGGATGGAAACGCTGTCGACGGGGTTTTCGCGCAGGAGGCGGATAATCTCCTTGTGCGCGGGTTCCCGCGAGGGCGTGAAGAGGGGCGAGATCTTGTCCAGGTCTGTCATGGTCACGGAGGAGCCCTGCTCGCGGAAGATGTGTAGCCACTTTTCGGGCGGGCTGAAATCAGGGAATGTGGCGTGGACATCATGGAGACCATCTAGGCCGTCTTTGGAGAGATTGCACGGTTAGTTCTGGACCGGACATGTTGAGGGGAGAGGCGACTTACGGAAGTGGTCAAATTTGAGGTCCGTCTCTTCCAGAGGGTGCTCGGCACCGAGCGCAACCAGAGGCTTGCACGCCTTGAGAGCCTCGAAGCCTTCAGGACGGCCGTTGGCTTTGCGCCAGGCCATTTCCTTCTCAATCACCTGCATCATACCGACGACGTTGCGTCCACAGCTACAATTCCGGTCAGCACAGGACAGAGACTCACCGAGTAGAAAAGCAGGAGGCTCACCATTCGAGAGACACGTTGCCGTATGTGACAGAAATCATAATGACTTCAATCTCCTCCTTGCTGGCGCTGAGAGCCAGCAGCATAGCCATGACATCGTCCACGCCTACAACCCCAGGTTAGTCGCGTGGGCAGACTTGCGTCACACAGGCGAGCGAGTACCTACCAGGATCGGTGTCGATGACGATCTTTCGCGGAGCCATGGTGTAAATTTGTTTGGCACAGCAAGGAGACACGAGCAATAGTAGCAAGCGAATTTATAAGAGAATATCTCAAGAGCGAAGTCTGATTGCGAAATGTCGGGATGGCGGCGACTGAAAAATGTTGTGGAGAGAGAGAGACCCCGCAGTCGCAAGTCCGACCTGATAAGAGTTCACGAGAGGGATCACTAGCACAAGTCTCGGAAGCGCTTAAATACTAGGGTGGCGTGCGTGACCATTATATTAAGAGCTATAAAATTAGTTAACCAAGACGAATATTTTGCTCAGGTTTGCAAGAATTTAGGTCAACCACGCGGGTGAATCGATATTCGGACCCTTGTGGTGTGGGTCACTGGTAGGTTTTATGTACTCTACTTGTCCGCGCCGCGGGCGCCTCCGGCCGAGGTAAGTTTACGATGCCGTGGAATTTAAATATATTATCAAAACGAAGAAGATATGTATATTGAAAATCTGGACGAAATATGTCATGTATAGATTGTGGAAACTAGAATTGGCAAACCTGAAAATCTTGGGCGGGTCGCACGAATAACAGAAAAATGGCTTCGCCTAGCTGTGAAGATGCGACTTCAGATGGGTAGGTACATAGGTAGTTAGTTAAGTAAAGTTAGCCAACCTCCGTCGTCACGCGAAACCCCGGACGCCGACACCAGGTCTTGCATTACAAGTCGGTGCGTGTAAAGTAACTATTGCTCATGTGATGTGTGGCGCATCAAGCAACTAAATGTTCCTGCATAAAGAGAGGCAAGAAATGTCCACTGCATGGGCATGGCAGCACCGTCTCGTGTCTATTCATCGGGTAAAGATGATAAGAGGCACTCTTATAACACGAGACTGCGCATTATACACATTATCTCGACCGCTGGTAGGGGTCCACGCGGCAAGCACCAACCTAGCGAGCCAGCTACGCCGGATCACAGCCTCCTGGATCCCGCCGATGTCATCTCCAAAGCCTCCATCGCCTTTCTCCTCGACACTAGTTATGGGCTAGGCCTACCTCTCCGGGGTACGCTTGAGATAGCAGGCCAACCGCGCCATGGCCGGCGGCTCGCGCGCGCCCTAGGGCCAGACGGCTGGTGCTTAACGTGAACTCATGCGCTGAACAGCTGGCGGGCCGCACGGTGGCGGGCGCGCTACAGCTATGTACATGTTTCTGGACCCCAGAGGCCGGACCCTATCCTGGCGGCGGGCGCGGAGGGGAGTACGCTGCGCTCGGTGGTGGGCAGATCAAATCGACGCGGCGCCGTTTATGGTGGCAGAGGGAGGTGGCAAGACGGTGTTGGTCCTGGAGGAATGGTTTGGGAGGCGGTTAATTTTTATGGTTGGCTTGGCGCGTGTTGAGCGAGGCTGTACATGCAGGCCCATGGCGTTATTGCGTAGAGCGTCAAAAGCCTCTTTTATTTATACATTTCGAGTTGTACTGGGCGAATTGAGGTCGATTGACTCGGTAGCCGTTGCATCAAGTACAGGTTTGCCGTTTGAACCTACCTACCTAAGTACCTACCTACTAAATAAGGTATGATAGTTACATCTGCACACCGTACGCCCGTCAGAACCTGGTCGAGGTACGCCCCGCTTCCCCCTGAAATCCACACGTTGACATGCAGCAAGATGTCCAAAAAAAGCAGCTCGAGCTGCTGGACCACATCGCTGTAGCACAGAAATAATAAAGTACAGATTTTCGCTGACTGGAGCATCGTAATGTTGTCAAAATCGTGGATAACTGTTAGAGCGCCTACTTTGCCCTTTGGCGCACACCATCAAGCCATCACTGTTCCATAGGCGATAAAGCATTGACGCGGTCAGGCCCTCGGCACTAGCCAACTTCAGCCTAGTGGCTTGCTCTCCCTGGCTGGGGGCTCGTCTTGTCTCGACTGGCGACGTAGCCAGAACACAAGCCAAGTCCAAGTAGCGCAGTACTAGTTAGTTAAACCACCACACACACGCAAACTCACTTTGGCTCGTTGGCACGGGTGTCTCTGAGCCACCTTTTTCTCCCATTGAACCATCCCTTTCTTCCTTCATCCTATTCAACCCTCCGCCATCAAACCCCCTCCAGTCCGCTTCATCGCCCTGAATTTATATTCTCTACTCGGTCTTCGTTGTCCCCCTTTTCCCGGGTTCGCTTTCCCCTGCTTCACTCCTCCAGAGTGGTGGCCACGTATCGCTTTCATCCTACCTTTGATCAACATTATTCCGACTCCTTGCGCCTGGCCATCGGCAACTTGACCGTCTTCATTGACCGGCCACCACTATAACCGCCCCTGTTACTGCACTGAATTGCCTGCAGAGTTCCCCGGCGACGACAACGGCTCAACAGTTACTGCACAAGTCGTCCGCCCAGACGACCACCACGCCATTGCACCATCCTCGCTTCGACCATCCGCCCCGATACAAATAACCGCCACCATGGCTGATTCTAGCATGAATCTCCTCTACACAATTGGTGGCTACGCCGCCATCGCTGGCGTCGGCTTGACCGTCTACCACTTCTCCACCAGGCCCAGTGCTAAGAGACGAGCTGCCGCTGCAAAGGCTAAGGCCGCCCAGCCTGAAGTCCGCAAAGACGACAGGAAGAAGAAGCAGCGCATGGAGGCTTTTGCGCAAGAGGTGCAGTCTGCCCCCAAGACTGCCCCCCCTGAAGTCAAGGAACCCCCGGCCAGCACCTCCAGCGCCCGTGACACCATGGACGACTCTGCTGCCAACCGCGAGTTCGCCAAGCAGCTTGCGAAGGCTCAGGAAGGCACCAAGTTCGCTGGCAGATCTGATGCCAAGCAGCGCGAGAAGTCCGTCAAGCAGTCCAAGGCCGTCCACATTGATGGTGTTAAGGCCACCAACGGTGCCACGGCTACCCAGACTACCAAGGCAACCAAGGCCGAAGCCAAAGCTCCCGCTGCCGCTCCCGCTACCCCTGTTGAGCCAGAGACAGCTGTAAAAGTCGAAGAGCCGGCCGAGGAAGAGACCCAAGCCGTGCCCGCCGAAGCTGGCCGCGTCGACGACATGCTCGAGCCCAAGGTCGCTGCCCCCTCTGTTCTGCGTCTCACCGAGTCCAAGTCTACGGAGCAGAAGAAGAAGGAGAGCAAGCCCGCTGAGAAGGCCGAGACCAAGAAGCAGCGCCAGAACAGAAAGAAGGCCGAAGCCGCCAAGGCTGCCCGCGAAGAGGCCGAGACTGAGCGCAAGACCCTCGAGGAGAAGCAACGTCGCCAGGCTCGTGTTGCCGAAGGCCGTGCTGCCAAGGACGGCTCCCAGTTCACCAACGGTGCCGCCGCTGCATGGAAGCAGGGCGCCCCCAACGGCGTTCCCAAGACCAATGGTGACCTCCACGCACCTCTCGACACGTTTGAGCACGCCCCTGCCCCTGCCCAGAAGACCAACGGCGCCGCCACCGCTGCGCCTGCTGTAGTTGAGCAGCATGTCGAGCAGGAGGAAGAATGGAGCACTGTCAAGACGAAGAGCTCCAAGAAGAAGGCAGCTGCCGCCAGCAACTCGGGCGATGAGGAGCCCGCCGCTGCCCCCGTGGTGGCCCCGAAGACCGCTTCTGTAACGAAGCAGGCCGCCCCCAAGACCAACGGCAACAGTGCCAACACCAAGCAGGCATTTGGTGGCTCGTTCTCCGCCCTGACCAACGGCGATGCTGACGAAGAGGAGGAGGAGTGGGATGTCTAAGCAGCAGCCTTGTGCACTGGACACTGATGCCAACCCAGAATGGTCCAAGCGGCGAACAGAAAATGACATGAAAATGAAAAGAACAAAAAAAAATCCATGAAGCAAAAGCTCCACACAAATCGTTTCTTGTATCATATTCAGTGGTGCGGGAACCGCCACTGTTGTTACCGCCACTTTCTTTTTACACTATTTCTTTCCAGCTTTTCTACTTTGATATTATAACACAAGCATGGATGGCGTCGGTGGCGGACAAAAACTACCGCCATGGGACGATCAAAAAACCACAGCACGAAAGGACCAGCACGACAATGAATCTGGATCCCGAACCCCGAGCAGCACTTGCGGTATCGAGAGGGTGAGGGCAGTGGGATACATTGTCGATCCTGCACAGACACAGGATATAGCTCACGGATGAGAGAATCCAGGGTGAAGAGTATGCAACGATGGGCAACTTACGGGTTCAAAATGGGAAGGGTACGACAGGGGCAAAATATGATTGGCTTGTGTGCGGTTGTATGCGTGTATATTTATCGTTGTATCATGCTGCGCAAAAGCAGGCACGTGAAACTAGAATTTTCGACAAGGTCGCGTCTGAATATATTTGAAAAAAAAAAACGAAACAGGTCAGCAATCGAGCGTGATGGTGAAGTTTGGCCAATGAGTGATGGTGGAGGATGTGCGTGGTGATGGTCTGGAGTGTGGCGAGGACAAGCTTGAGTTAACGAGGGATCATGTGGCCGCGGCATTTGAGATGGCCTGTCTAGATGATGAGCTGGCTACTACACTTGCTGGACGCTTACAAGGGACTTGACTGATTTTCTGCTCTGGTTTTTTCTTTTTCGCAGAAGCTGATACACACCATCTGCTGATCTGATATCGAGGCGGGCTAAGCCGGAGGGGCGGGGATGTTTATTCGTTGGCGACTTGAGACACGAACGTGGAGACTATGCCGGCGCAGAAACCAGCTTAGTTGTTGTAGCTTGTCAGTGACGATGTTTCACGAGAGCACGAGGTTAATAACGTAGGTAGTAGTATCAAGGGCGGCCAGTCAAGACTGAGGGGCTGGGCACCCGTGGTCGCGACTGATCGTGATAGGGCTGCATTGGCACTGCATGAGTTTGCATCGCGCAGGGTCTCACTGCGTTTGTGTGTGTGCATGTTGGCGATGATGTGTACCAGTATTTCGTAGCGCAACATGAAATATACAAACTCTCCTTCATCTAGTAGTAGAGGACCCTGGTTATGCTCGCCACGAAGGGGTGGTATTCTGGTGGGGGGTTGAGGGTGGGATACTATGGTAGTTACCGTTCCCTGACGTCCTATCGAGGCGCAACGTTTTGCCTTGTTTGGACGGGCTCAGCGCAACGTTGACGGGTCATGTTTCGGTCATGCTTATTCCTCCCTGGTACGGATACTAGCTCTAGTAAGTTTGAGACTAGGTAGTTGGAACTTTGCCCTGAGCAAATGGAGAGCACAGAGTTGTTGTTGGCCGCACTTATTGACGTGGAATGTCAAAAAAGGAAAAAAGGTTAAAAATTGATGCACCAAGCCCAATCGCATCGTACTTGGTGTGGTTGTCACCCTCAGCTGAGAGAGAGGAGGCGTGAACGTAGACGCCGCAGGAGGAACTTGACAAGCAGCCTGTTCTTTAAGAGAGTGGGGTGTGGAGATGCCGTGCCGTGTTTTGAACTCTGGATGCTGGCTAAAAAGAAACCAGAGGCGTTTGTCTGGGTTGCTGGAACGATGCTTGCGATCAGGGAGACTGGAGCGGGGCATCGGGAGGAGGGATGACGGAGAGAGGGCTGAAGATTTCCCTTTCTTGAAGCGAGGTCAATTGATTCTGGGCTGCATGTGGTGTACAACATCATGGGCACCCCCTCTTGTGCGATTTCATGTGGCTCGTATGGGTATCCGTACATGTGCACAATCTAGTGGTCGATCCCGGGGGAAGGATGAGATGGGGACAGTGTCGTGGTTTCGGCTGAGCGGATGGTGGGGGGATCAATCGCTAATTAGCCCTCGTGACCTGACAATATATTTTCTCTTCAAACTTCTGCAAGGTTGTTAAAAAGTGCGGAGAATAAAACTGCGAGGGAAGCTTGTGCGACGTGATAGGCCGGTGTGGCTTTTTTTTTTTCTTTCTGATTGCGGTGAAACGCCAAGCAGGGCAAGTATCACAGAGTCGCGGCTTTTATCTATTTATTATTCTACTTGAGAATTATACATATGAGACATAACTGGACCTCTTCCCCGAGATGGGCTTCTTTCCTAATATAGGTTTATGCCAATATTCTTCCTGGTTTACACGTATCCCCCTTGACATACCTCTTTCCTAACACACGTCTGCCTTCCTAGCAAAATTCACAATGTCTCGGGACTGTAAGAGACATAACTAATTCGAAGTCAAACATCATGACTGTACCGTGTTCCACAGATCCGCGGGAAGGGAGGGACTTGACCAAAGGGGGAGAATGCGGAGAAGAAGGCTTTATTTTGGGTATTATTATGCATGTACATATGCCCAGGACTACCTAGTCATAGAGGCTATCTTTTGAAACGTGGAATGCGGCTGGGGCGTGTTGATGCTTCCCTAGGGCAGTGTCAGGGATGTTGTATGTATGTATGTTGGATGTTTGGAGGCCAGCAATCAAGGTGACGTACATACGCCGTACGGCGTGAGTTTGCAAGGCAAACGGTAATGGCCGCCCTACGGGGGCCAAATAGGTACGAGCCGACGCATAGCGACACGTCGACGCGTCGGCACCTAAAGAGGAATAGCCAGACATTATAAGAAGCAGAAGAGAAGACCAAAATCAGTGAATTGGAAAGTTACACTTGGGCAATCTGCAGTAGGTCTCATCACATATATCGGGTTCTATCGTACTGCGCATAGCACAGCCTGTTGGCGCCCCGTGGCCTCAGCCAGCCCGGCCATTGAACCGCGCGCCACAGAGCCTGGTAGGCGCCCCTCCAGGTCGTCACTTCCAGGGCCTCAGCGAGCGTTTCCAGGCCACGCCCCCCCTGTATTCGTCCTAATTATAAGTGATTTCCTCTAGTGGCCAGGGACCTGGCTGGAGGGACCACTGGACAGACCCCCCAGTGGGGCTCTCATCACACACGTTCAACTTCCTCTCCCACCTTTCCCTCTCTCCTGTCCTCCCATCTTCACCACATGCACTTGCTGCCTTCCATTTCTCATTCGATTCCATCCATTCACTTTAGCTTCTCTTTTTTGTTCGTCACTAGCCTCTTTTTCTACGTACTGTCCCCCGCTACACTTTTTTCTTACACTTTTGAATCCCGTCCATGCTATTAAAACGCGCTTTTCCCACCCAATCTTGTTCAATTGCCACACGTCCACAACATCAACGCCAACGCCAACTTGCCATTCCCAGTTTGAAACAGTATCAACTGGATTGGATGACGTTGCACTTATAATCTGTGTCTTGAAACAGAACAGATTGCTTTTCTCGACGACTCCATCCTGACGCATAAGACCAATTGCTAAGCCTCATCCCACCCCTGGCTCCATCACAACCAACCCATCAACGACTCAACTAAACTGCCCTCTCAACACCATTGTCTCGTTCTGCAATCCCATATTAGTTGTCAATCGACTGGCCTTACTTCAACGAACGGAGCCGGGTTCTCCTTATTCACCAATTCGACTCTCCAGAGAACACGCGAGTGTCACGGTTTATTCCCTCGTCACCACTCCCAACGACTAAGCAAACAACCGGCACCATGTCGCTGGGCGTTGCTCTCCGGTCGGTTGTCTTCTACGTTGTCGCCTGCACACCATGCACCAAGTTCCGCCATCGCCAAAAAGCCCGAAATGCCTCCAAAAAGGAACGCCTGGAAAAGGCCATCAGGCTCGAGACGGAGCAGCCGGGCCGGTACCAGCACCCTTCACCCTTCACCACAAATCCATACTGGCAGGAAGAGATTGAGAGAGGCCCAAGTCTGCCCAAGAAGTCCGCCAGCAAAAGCTCCAGCTCCCGCGGTCTCACTAGCGCTGGCCGTGACTCCTGCAGCCCCAGCGTTTCGGAACAAACCAACGTCGAAGATAGCAGAACCAACGTTGACAGCATGAGCATCCTACGCGAAGAGGAAGACACCGTCCCCAGCGATTGGAACCGCAAAAAAGGATATCAACGCGAAGATGAAGAGGTATGGGGCCAATGGACAGCGCAGAAGTTGGTAGACGCCCTTAACAAGGCACGCAACTCGGCCGGTCGCTTGATAGAGTCGACTCTCGGCCTTGAGAAAGAGGTTACGGACCAGGAGCGTCGTGCCTTCTACGCAACCCCCCGCAACCCTCCCGTCAATGACTATCACCCAGCCGTCATCAGCAGCAGGCCTGCCAACCGAGACGGCATCAAATGGATGCTTCAGCCGCCCCCACCCGCCAAATTTATGGAGGGGAAAACCCCCGTCAGCAGAGCTACCAGTTCCGCAAGCAAGTCGAGCGGACGTACCCTCGTCTCCGACGACCCCTTCCTCAGGAAAGTGGTCAAGGAGCAGCTGGCCAAGGAGAAGCTGGCCAAGGCACGCGCCGAACGCGCCGGCAAAGATGCGGCCGTCCCCACCGAGTCGGAGCTGATTGAGTCCATCTTCCTTACTCGCACCAACCAAACCGCTACCCGCTGCCGAAGCCTGTCCTTTGATGCCGACATCGAAGATAGATCCACCGAGGCCTCATCTAACGACTCTGGCTCCTGGGGGCCCAAATCTACCGCCTGGGTTCCCAAATCTCACCTTGCCCCCGTGCGCATGCCCTACAGCAAGAAATACTTCACCAAAGATAACGGCAAGGAATACGACCCGAACGACCCGAGCGATGAAGAATACCCTGCCATAAACCCCGACGGTACCATTACTTTTCAGAAGCCCAAGCTCGAGACCTTTCTTACCACGGATGCCGGCCCTGCCGGCACCCAAGGTGGATCGACCCATAGGTCTCGACGCAGCAAGCTGCTGGCGAGTGTTGGTAACCCCGTGGGTGATGGTATTGAGTGTTCAGGGCTGACCAGATAGACGTTGGCCAAGTCCGAGACGTTCGTCAACTATCGACGCAAGAGACTCGTCAAGCACAACAGAAAGAAGTTTATGCTACAGTATTTCCCTTCTGCTGTCGGCGACGACAGTGATTACTGAATCGACACGTACATAGCGAAGAATGGCGCACCACACACACTCTCTCTTTTGCCTTTTCAGCCTCTTGCCAACAAAAGCAGGAGTTATTCAGCCTTCCTATTAGCCCATTCTTTGTCATTTCTCCTTTTTTCTTTTTTCCCAAAGCATTCGAGCGACCATGGCGTCTTTGCTTTTTTCTAGGTCTCATTTCGCGCAACTGCATAAAAGGTGTTCAGGCGTCCAAGGTGTATAAAATAAGAAGGCGTCCAAACTGTCTGTTGGGGGTTATGGGTTACATAGTTTTTTGTCGTTGGATTCTGATGTTGTCTGTTTTTGACGTTTTGATTCTTGTCTTTTTTCCAAATGCAACTTCTTCTTCAGATTGGGCTTTTTCATTTGCAATTGTTGTTTTCTCTTTGTTTCTTCATATTGGACATTGGTGTCAAGATTGGATTTTGGGTTTCTAGTGGAGATTACTACGTCTAGTAAACGTCCCATTCAAAAGCTCTTTCGTTTGTGAAGCTGTTGAAGGCACCATGTCAACGTCAGCGGTTGTAACTAGACCTGATGCTCTTGACGGTGTTACAAGACATTTGTAAATTCTTCCACGCGTCAGTATTGTATTGTAAGGACGAATTAGAGGTTCCAATCGCGCCATGTTGCCATTTCTCGTGAACCCGTTCGCTTTATGGGCAACAAGTCGAGGCAATGGACGAATCTACCTTTACCAGTCCCCCCCACCAGAGCTTTTTGCCCCTCCTACGTCACAACAATCTGCCTAACGCAACAACCCACCTGCCCCGCGTGCTCCCTGACAACTTTTCTTTTTCCTCTGTCCAACCACACACACTCACAAACATACACACACACATATACACAATGTCATCGGCCGACACGACACCCATCTCGCCCGCGCGCTTCGCTGCCGCGCTGCGGGAGCTGTCCGTACCCATGCTGCACCTCAAGGTGCTCGAGATCCGCAACGCCATGGCGCACCTGCAGTACTCCAACGACCAGCTGGCGCCGTTTGCCGCGACGGACCCCGACTGCGCCGACGCGATACGGGAAAACGAGGCGGTGCTGGCGCGCATGGAGGAGCGCATCGCGCTGGTGCGCATCGACGTCGAGGACAGGGGCGTGGCGTGGAACGAGTTTGCGAGCAAGGAGGGGACGGAGGCGGGCGTGGCGCGTGCACGCGAGGAGCAGCAGCAGCAGCAGCAGCAACAGCAGCAGCAGCAGGAAGAGGAGGCGACAGGGGTGGCGCAGATCAACGCCGCAACGTCGTCGCCGTGGACGGATGGCACGTTTCAGACGGGCACGATACGGAATGGCGAGATGCACTTGGATGCCCCGCCGAGGAGAGAGAATAACAGTGGTGCTGGGGGAGGAGGGAGCTTGTCGGATGAGCAGCTGAGGGCGGCCATGGAGGAGCGGATGCGGCAGATGACGACGGAGGAGGATGAGGAAGGGGGGTTGCACCTGTGAGTGTATAGGGAAATTTGGGCTTGGGCTTCTTTTTTTCTTTTCTCTTTTTTGGCGTTGACGGGTCGTTCTTTTTGATTGTCATGACGAGAGACACGGAAATTCCACAGCAAAGGAGCATTCTATAACCGCACGTTTGCCATTGCACCATTGCAGGCTATGTTATCTGTTCTTGATACCGGGATAGTACTGAGGCTACAGAGAAAAAAAAATATATTTCCATGTTCAACCCATTCGCGGGAGGCCAAACGCCGTTGCTGGAGGCCATGTGCGACCAATTGTCGTTGGAATATGCGAAAATTATAACGGGGCCTTTGCAACTCTCTGGTATGAAGGCTCTGTTTTCCGTCTGAATTGTCCCTGTTGTATGGGCGCTGGAAGAACAGAGGGGGGGACCGGCTCGCGCTTCTTTTTGGGTGATTGCGTGGCCAAGGTGTGCCATTCATTCCCCATGTCATGGATCGGGGGCGCAATCGATCGTCGTCGGCGCTAGCCCGGGTAGAATTGTCAGACAAGGTACAAAATCTTGTTGCCTAATCAATTCAAACATGCGTTCAGCCTTGGCGCTAAATGGAACTGGGGAAGGAAATAGCCCCGAGACAGCGAGCCACCCACTAGGTATGGGCTCTGGCGCATTTGCCATTACTCAATCCTTCCTCTCCCGCCCATGTGAGGTCTCCACAAGGATGTTGTGGGATTGCGGCGACAGTCATCTGCCCGTTTTCACGCCACGCGTGAAGGGCGTTTCACACGGCCTCATACCAACTAAATGAGATTGCCAATTAGAGCCATTGGACGTAATAGTACAGTTGTCAATCTCTGTATCTTAATCTCCGTCGATCTAGTATTTCTTTGCTGCCCCCTCACATAGGTTAAGCAAGCAGGCCGTCAATTGTTGGATTTTACTGGTTCGCTCCCTCACTATTTCGTGCTCCGGAGCGCCCTAAGACCGATTACTGTGTGCTGACAGGGACCCTTCAATCCCCATACAACTCATCAGCGAATCAGCCGGCGCCATCAGACTAACTAATAGTAGCTTTAGAAGCTTTCCATCCAGTGGCATAGCTCAGTCTCTGTTAATCGTCTACGTCGAAGAAGTAACGGCTCTTATCACTTTCGTCTTCTAAACTTTAGGTTTCTTTTCAGACTTTCTAGGCCACATGAAAAGGGCAAGCTCATCGCAACCTGGGGAAATTCAAGGGTATTTCGAAGAAATGCCCTTGCCACCACCAATATTGTGGTGGCGCCGACATTATACGGCTTAGGTTTCTAATCCTGCTCTATTGGTAAAGACCCGTCACCAATTCAGTTAATACCGAGGCGTAAAGCAGATTGATTGCTCTAGAGGGCTGCGTGTTTACGTCAATAAGGCGCGTAGGTCCTCGTTGCAGCCACGATTGGCTGACAATTTTAGTACGCAGGGGAGCGAAGCATAAATGCCAAGAATCGTGAAGTACTATTTCTTGAATCTAGTTGTGTGAAACGCCATACGGAGCAGCCACCCTCATGTCGGCGCGTAGGCGACAAAATTCATTGGCGGGAGCTTGACTATCTGCCAATTCCCCTCTTTTCCTTTCAGGGCGAGTATGCACCATTATCCATAAATGTGATCTCGTCTACCATTGGTTCTGGAGCTATCTGCTGTTCACGCCTTGTAATAAGAGCTTGGTTATTATTCAGGAAAGGAAAGAAGATAAAATGAGACGTAGCCCCCATCAAATGGGTCAATTTTAGCATAGAATTCTTCTCCTTCGTCAACCGAACCATCCTCGCAGCCTTCCCTCAGCGTTGGACCATTGTATCTACTTGCACGTGCCCCCACTGCAGGTATGCCGAAAGGGAAGTCTTCGTCGTCCGCATCGAAAGATGTAAGGATAATCCTAGAAGAAATTGACGATTTGAGGGAGGCGCTCAAATCAGTCGAAAGCAACATTGCACACTACGAAAAACAGGCTCAACATCCAGTTTATGGAAAGTCTGCAAAAGAGACCCTGATGGGCCTATACGACCAGCAAGTCTTACTCAGGAGGCGCACGAAGACTTTGGAGAAAAACGCGGAGGGTTATCACAGGGCTGTAGCTAGAGGCGATGGAAGTAGCACCGGCTCTGACAAGTCCGGCAGGTCAAGAAGCTCCAGCAAGTCGTCTGGATCGTCTGGATCGTCTGCGTCCAGTGCCCCTGCGGAAAACGGTTGGTGGTTGCGGTACCCTGAATTACACTCACCCTGACGACCAATACTTCTGCTGTGGCTGCAATAAACGAACCTTCGACGAAACAACTTGTTGGTGGGCACTAAACCCCCATCCGGACGATACTTCGCCCTGGGAAATCGACATGGCTGACCCCTTGGCCAATGCCAATAACAACGCCCAGTAGTCCATATCAAGGAATGCAATGGGCTTCGAAGTAGGAAGCCTGAGTGGGATGAAACAGTGTCAGTTCTGGATGGTCCACAGGTAGCGGAAACCGAAGTGTTAGCTTTCCATAGTCGAATTTCTCGATTTGGTTATATAGCTCCGGCGGGTGTGAGATTGAGATTCATTTTTCTTTAAGAATTATCACTACATATCTTCTTGTTGAGACTAAGGGTGACGATGGTGTGATGTCTAACACTGGCTTACGCAACATTTAGCCATGTCTGCGTACCTCCATCACCAGTAGCAGTTGCACTGTGAGTGTAGATACAGCTATAATACAAATAAAAAGATATACGACACCGAAAATCCTCACGTGCTAAGACTCGTACAATTTATTCTAGCTTTAGTTGTCTAGTCTTGTTATTTTACATAGGAATCGCTCTAATTTGTGTTAATTTAAATCAGCGATTGCTTCAATCCAGAGACCGACTAACATGTAGTATTGCCTCAACTATTTGAGCCAGAGAGCTGGTTGGTTGTCGGTTGGGGCTGACGTGGCGAAGCCATCGCCGCTCTAGACGCTGCGCGGAGGGCATTTGCGGCGGCCGTATACTGCTCGGCGATCTCACGCTTCTTGGCGTTCGACATGGAGAAATCTTTCTTCGCGGCCTGACGGATCTCTGATATCTCGTCATATTTTTGCTGATACTCCGCTACGCTCGGCATATTGGCAAGTAGATCACAAGAATCGCGACAACTCTGAACCTGAGCACAGTAGCGTATGTGAAATAAATAGAGTTGGTAGAATTGGTGAGGGACGAGCAGGCTAATGGGACACATACCCATCTATTTGTACCCTCCCTCGCGTCACGTGGTTTGGTGGCAACAAACCGCGACCCCGCCTTCTCCTCGCTGCAAACACCAGTCTTTGCCAAGAGCTTGGGCTCATCAAAGTGTGCATAGGAACAGAGTCCCATCGCGACGTTTCTTGACCGCGGCAGCAGCCAAGGACAGAGTTTTTCCTTACCCTAGTATTAATAAAGGTATTAGATAGGTTATTTAGCCTAGTTAGTATATAAACTTTTTATTATTATTATACTTAATATACTTTCTATTCTTTTAAATTAATTATTTTATATACCTTAATAAGTTATAAGCTTATAATTATAATATTAATATAAATATAATATTACTATAATTATACTAAATTTACTATATAGATAGTATATATTTAGCTTAGCTTTTATTAGGAAGTTTTAAAAATACTTAAAAAATATTTATAAATTATAATTAAATCTAATAAATATCAAAAATACCTTTATAATATAATAGTTTTATAGTATAAATTCTATATAGATTAGTATATAAATTACTAGTTTAAATCTAGCTAGAGGTACCCTAAATAATTTCTTTTCTAAAAGTTAAGTAGTATAGCCTAGCCCTATAACTAACTTTATAAGGGGGATATTACTATTAACAGCTTTGCAAGGAACGAGATACATCTCGATTCGTCCTGCCTGCTCCTGCCCATGTCACCCTTTGCCCGCTCTTCTACTTATAGGCTCCGTACTGCTGCTGCTGCTGATGGGCTCATTCTCTCATGGCCTGACCAAATCGGTGCCCAGAACAAGGTAGCGATGGTGGGGGCCTCGTCCGCCTATTCTGCTTCGGCCGACTTGCTCGAATCACAACGCCGCTCGTCCCTTGCAGTTCTCTCAGCGCACCGAGTCCTTTTCTTGAAGGAACGGCGACGACAAAAGTTCCCCAGCAGCGCGGGGCCCGGACACGGCGATGTAGCCCTCTCCGGAGCACAACCGTCCCCCCCCCCCCGCAGGCCGGTAATAATAAGAAATGGCACAATGATACTGGACGGTCGTTGGTACTCTATAATGAGTCGTGAACTTGATTACGTGTTTCTCAATTCCCCGCTCCAGTGCTCTTCAGTGCTCTTCAACCTTTTGAGGGCTCGTCCCAACCTCGTTCCACCAACATTCGCACCACATCACACACATACGGCGGCATATCAATCAGCCCTAACTTTGCAATCATGTTGCCTTCTGTCCATGCCATGGCTGCTGCCGCTCTGGCCTGTGCCGTCCTCACCCTTGGTGCCCCTAGTGAGTTGCCCTCTAATTCATTCCTTGTGCCCGCCCCAGTCTGACCCCCCGACCCCAGCCGAAATCCAAAACCTACAGATCGCGGCCCAATTTGGCCATATCAACTATGCGGCAGAATTTTCAAAAGATGCAGCGTGAATTTTGACGATATGATTATGATGGGATTGTTATTTCCTTGTGATGAGAAATTAAGACGGAGGATAAGCGTGGGTATGCTTTAGAACATAGACTGCAATGGATGTGTACTGGGGTACACTGCTTCGCCCCCTCTTGACCGCATTCTCTGCTGAATATTGGTACTATTGTTCTTGCATCTCACTATTAATACGTAACTGGTTTGACAGCCCTGCCTGTGACAATGAGCCCGGCTTTCGCCATCCTCTGCGGCCGAGTGACCGAAACCCCCCCCATCAATGCCCTGCTTGGTTTGATGCACCTGCACGGCTCCCAGTTAGTCTTATTGGTAGTTGCTCAGCTCTATTGGAAGGGACATGGTTAAATATATTTGCAGGTCCTCTCACGGCGCACAACATCTGACATCTTACACAGGTTGCATGCCCACCGAGCAGCCGAATTCGAAAAGGGCCCGCGCCGCCCATAGCCCGTACTCTCTGTACCGATCATCAGAGCTTGCCAACAAGTCATTGCCCAGCGTCGCCATTCGGTCTGGGTAGGACAAGACGGTTTTATCGAAGGTCTCTGACCATGACTTCCCCTTCTGACCACGAGTTTTGGCCTACCCACCAGCTCCTCTTTGATTTCACTTTGCAATTTGAGCAAGTCATCTTCAGCCTTGTTCCTTCCACATGTGTCGTCATTATGTCTTTGTGGCCCTGCTGGCACTCCATCCAACAGCCCCCCTGCGTCCGGCAGAATGCGCTTTTATACGCCAAGCTTGTATGTCACACATCCCCGAGTCCCCCTTTCTCGAGCGCGGTCCTTGAACAATGTCACCCATATAGATTGTGGCCGCCCTGCTCTCCGCTACACACATTGCCAACGTCGCGATTTGGGCTACCACGGCGGCAGACCATGGTACAAATACGACGCTGCCGGCCGCCGTGGTTGACTTGACGGCAACGTTTGCAGTTGGAGCTGTCACATACACGGAACACTTGTACTCTGCAGGGTCATCGACAATGTTTGCCCTGTATCTTATAGCAACCATGCTGACAGACGCCACCCGCAGTCGCTCATATTTCCTGCGGAGTGAGCTCGACGCTGTTGGCTCGTTGGCCGCGGCAGCCGCTGGAGTGAAGCTGCTTCTCATTGCATTGCGAGAGATTTCAAAGAAGTCGCTTCTGATTGACGATGAGTTGCGCAGCGAGATCGGGCCCGAGGCCACCAGCGGGTTTCTATGCAAAGCGCTGTTCCTTTTCGCTCGACGCATGCTCGCCGTTGGCTTTCGGACCCGGATTCTCAATGAGCATCTAAATCGCCTCGGCCCTGAATTCTCGCCCCAGCTACTTCACAAACAGCTGACTACAAGATGGCGCCCAAGACCACACGGGCCTACGCCTCGCCACTCCTTGGCCAGAGCCTGTCTGAAAGCCTGGAGGCGCAGCTTCCTCGACTCGATTCTCTGTCGGCTGGCCCTCACCGTGTGCAACTTTTCACAGCCCTTTATTTTGAGTCGCATTATCGGGTTTATTGGGCACCGAGACGAGGAGCCCCTCCAGACGCAAACACGGACGCAATACGGCTTGCTGGGGGCCTCTGCCATTGCCTTTTACGGAATCGCCTTTTCTCGAGCTGTATTCGCCCATGGCATGAATCGATTTGTTACCCGCTTGCGTGGTGGCCTGATTAGCCTGATCCTTCATAAGGAGCACAAGCTGGTGGAAGCAGAAGCAAGGAAAGCGGCCGCGGAAACGTTGATGAGCGCTGATATCGATGGTATAGCGACTGGTGTCCCGCGCTGCCTCGAGATTCCCATCGGAATGGTCGAGATTGGGCTTGGCATTTATATGCTGTCCAGCTTTACCGGACTGTCTGCCTTGGTTGTGATTGCGCCCATGACTTCAACGACCATTGCCGCTTACATTATCGGACTGCGCTTGGCGTCGTTGTTTTCAGCATGGAACAAATCTATCGAGACTCGAATCGCCAAGACTTCTCGGATCTTGTCTCAGATCACGGGGATCAAGACACTTGGGCTGGGACCTACTGTCGCTGTATTTCTTCAGCAGCTTCGTATCGACGAGATCGAAACGTCAAAGGCCTTCCGGCAGCTGCAGGCGTTGAGCATGGTACCGAACATGCTTGGCGATTTAATCACACCACTTGTCGTGATTGCTGCGGCATTGTTTGGAACAGCTTTTGGAGGCAAGATGGAGGCGGTCAAAGTCTTTCCTATCCTGACCGTGGTTTCCCTCATCCAGAGACCCCTGCTCTCTGTTCTGCAGTCGTTCTCGACCGTTTCAAGCATGCTGGCTTGTTTCTCCCGCATCCAGAGCTATCTATGTCTCCCCGATTGGAAAGATTGCCGAGCAGCTTCCACTTGGACACCGAGCACTGAAGAGTGCAGCCCCTCGACGCCACAGCAGCCAAACAACAGCATGATATATTTCGACAATGCCGATCTTGCACCCTATGGAACGACCGAGGCACTGTTGCGCGGGGTCAGCTTTCGAATCTCACCGGGCTCCATTACTGCCGTTATTGGCTTGACAGGCTGTGGCAAGTCGACGCTTTTGCGAGGTGTGCTCGGCGCTGTCGAGGTGCTTGCCGGGTCAATCAAGGTCAACACAAGCGATGTTGCGTACTGCGGGCAGGTTGTCTGGCTCCGAAACACGTCGATCCGAGAAAATATCACCGGCCATCTCCCCTACGACAGTGCAAAGTTTGCCCGCGTCATTCGGGCCTGCTTTCTCGAGGATGACCTCCAATGGCTCCCTGGCGGAGAGGATTACATCGTCGGCACGAATGGAGCGAATCTGAGCGGCGGCCAGCGACAGCGCGTCGCAATCGCCAGGACTGCATACTCGGAGTGTGCCGTGATTGTGCTGGACGATGCATTCAGCTCATTGGACTCGGAAACCGCCGTTACTCTACTCTACCAGCTTTGCGGCAAGAGAGGACTTTTCCGCCAAGCTGGGTGTACGGCGCTCATCGCTACCTACTTGCCGGCCTGCCTGGACTTGGCCGATCAGGCAATTTATATCGATGGCCTGGGAAATGCCACGCTCAAGTCCATGCAGCAGCTCTCGCAGTATACGGGACTCTTGGCAGCGGCCTTGAGCACTGTCAATACCAATGCATCGGCGGTCCAAGAGACGAGAGACCTCGCCAATCTTCGCCGGTCCCTGGATGCAAGCCGTCCCGCTTCTTCGGACGCAAACGACGATGCGGTGCGCCAGCGCGGCAGCCTGTCTCTCTATGCCATCTTTATACACCCGATTGGTTGGATCAGTGCCGCTCTGTACGCTGTTCTCCTCACTTTTTCCGCGGGCACAGAAGTCATGCCCGAGATCTACATCCGAATCTGGATCGACGTCGACCCAACCAACGAGTCCTTCTTCGCCGGCTATACGTTGCTCATTGCGACTGCTTGTCTTACCGCCTTGCTGCAGTACTGGCTGCTCTACACACAGCTCTGCCCGCGCGCATCGGCGAGTCTGCACAAGGACATTGTACGGGCCACGCTCGGATCGACGCTTTGCTTTGTGTCGACGACAAAGACTGGAACGCTGGTGAATCTCTTCAGCCAAGACATGACCTTGATCTCCAGAGACTTGCCCGCCGCTCTTCTCGCAGTACTGTATGCCGCCTCCAACGCCGTGTCTAACATTGGCATTGTTCTTTCTGGCGCGACGTATCTCTCTTGCGTAGTACCCGCGCTCCTTCTTGCCTTGTACTTTATCCAGCGCTACTACCTGCGCACATCCCGCCAAGTTCGGCTCATCGACCTGGAGATGAAGTCCCCGCTGTATACCTACTTTGAGGAGACTGCCGCGGGGCTGATGCACATTCAAGCGTTCAAGTGGGAGGAGAAGAACATTGAACGCGGGCTCACGCTGCTCCAGGACTCGCAGAAGCCGTACTATGCTCTGCTCACCATCCAGCAGTGGCTCCGGCTCGTCCTTGGCTTGCTGAATGCATCGCTTGGCACGCTCCTTGTGGCGCTGTCCCTCTTCTCGCGGCACGGCTCCTCCCAGTCAGCCATTGGCCTGGCCTTTATGGGCCTCATATTTGTCAGTGCATCGCTTGAGCTGACCATTGACGCCTGGACGAGGCTCGAGACGTCTTCCGGGGCGCTGAGCCGGATTTCGCAGTTTCGGGAGCGCACGCCGCAAGAGCCGCGCCAGTCGCGGGACAAGCTGCCCGAGAACTGGCCCTCGCTCGGACAGGTCGAGTTCATCAATGTCTCTGCCTACTACTCCGACGACCCCGCCGCGCCGCCGGCGCTGGACAATATTTCTCTCGCCGTCTACCCCGGGCAGCGCATCGGCATCGCCGGCCGGAGCGGCGGCGGCAAGAGCACGCTTCTCCTGACCATGCTCGGATTTCTCGCCTACAAGGGACGACTGGAAATCGACGGCGTCGACGTGGCCTCTGTCTCGCGCGACGAGCTCCGGTCGCGTCTCGTCACCATCACGCAGGACCAGATCGTGTTTGACGCAAGCGTGCGCACCAACCTGCTGCCCTTTGCCATGAACGACGCGGCCGGCGGCGGCGGCGGCGGCGGCGCGCCCGGGGACGAAAAGGCGGCGGCCCAAAAGGACGCCGCGCTCGAGCGGCTGCTCAAGGACCTGCGCATATGGGCGCCGCTCACCGGCAAGGGCGGCCTCGACGCCATGATGCACGAGGTGGGCTACTCCAAGGGCCAGCGGCAGCTGCTCTGCATCGCCCGCGCGATCCTGCGACAGCGCGAGACGGGGTCCAGGGTGGTTTTGGTAGATGAAGCGACCAGTAGTGTGGATTCGTCGACGGAAGCGACGGCTCACCGGGTCATGAGGGACAACTTCCGCGGCTGCACCGTCTTGACCGTGGCGCATCGTCAGTCGAGCTTGGCCCATGTCGATGCTGTTGTTCGGCTGCATCGAGGAGTGCTCCTTGGCTCGGCCCAAGAGCGAACTGAGTCGGATTCATCCGACGAGGAGGTGTAAGTTGGATTAGTTTTCATTATAGAAAAACTCCATACATGCTTCATTTACAATCTGCGTGTACTGTGCTTGCCTCGTCTCTGATTCGGCGAGTCGGCATGGTAGACGAGTGTTTGCAATACGCACGTTGGCAACTGGGCTTACTGAAGGAATAGGCAGGCTGCAAGACACGGGTATTGAATTCAAGTCACGCTGTATTCGCTATTATACAAAAACTTCCGCTCGCGTCTGCCTCCCAACCATTCGCCCACTGAGCCTTGCGACGCATCTCCAATCATGCGAGCAGGGCACGCCAGCCACCCAAATTCTCGTCTGTAGCAGCGTTTATCGCCCCTCAAGACTACCGTAACTGCACCAGTCTCTGTTGCAATTCGCGCAGGAAAAAAGCGGCGGCATCGGCTGGTGGAGCAGGCTGGCAGGGTCCAGCATCAAGAGCCAGGCAAAGCGGCCAAACAGTTCCGACATCCGGTCCAGGCACAGGCCAGTCCCGCCTCTGCCGACCAAACGCATGTCCTGGATTCGACTGGTGACGGAATCGAAGAATACACGGTACGTGTCGTGGTAACGCTCCTCCCAGGGCTGGCTCTGCACCCACGCAATGTTGGCCTCCAGCATCGGCCGCTCCCGCTGGCGCATCGGGCGGCCCGTTGTGAGCACCACCAGGGCCTTGATGGCGATGAGCAGGGTGAGCATGCTGCACAGCCGGCGGCGCTCAAGGTGCCAAGCAGACCCCGACCTGATGAGGTGCAGCGTCGGGCCGAAGAAGTGCTGCATCTGCATCGACAGGATGTCGAGGAGGAACCGCAGGCACCGCCGGTCGCAGAGGACCCGCACGCGGTGCAGCCACCGGAGTCCCCGTCGGACCGCGGTGATGGCGATGGAGAGTCTGACGGCGCCGGTCACGACGGCGCGGAGCACTTCGGGTACGGGCGTGAGCCGGATGACATATTGTGTGTTGCTGGAGGGGGTCGGCATGGTGGAGATATGGGGTGCGTGCGAAGAGCAAAAGGGGAGATTTCGGGTGCGGGAACAAAAAGGAGAATAGGTGGTACTGAGTTATCGGTGCTTGTCAAAAATAGGTTTGTTTGCAGTTGTGCCTCAAGGTTGAGGATAGGGAGGCTGGAGGTGGAATGGTTTTGTTGTTGACTGGCGCAACTTGGCAGGCGCGAAGCTGGGTCTGGTCGAGGGATAGGTACGAGGTGCATGCTAACCAAGTCTGCAAGTAAGAACCAGTGTAAAATGCGTAGAGATGATCCAAGTCGCAAACTCCTTCCAAAGTCAACTGATTTCGGGGTTTGTACCTGTCGATGGCGGCGTGTAAGTGGCATCCATGGTAGACACAATTCAACACTCGACACTAGGAGCCCACGCCGGCTGCCATTTTTTTTTTTTTTTTTTTGACAGCCAGTTCCAGTCTACAAGCTACGCAAATATATTACAATCATCATATAATCTATATTATGCTCATTATTTAAGACTTTGCAAATTGCCGTCGACGCTGGCCACATGCGGTCCATCGCCAGCTGACTCATCACGAAGCTGCCGCAAATGCCAGGCGCCCCTTGGCGCTCCACCACTGTCCGCATAGGGGTCAAAGGGAAAAAAAAATCCAGACAAGCTTCCCCAAAATTTCCAGTCTTTTACAACCCATCATTTATAACAACAACCACAACACCACCACCATGCTGTCTTTCCGCACCCTCGCGCGCTCCGCGCCTCGCACCCTCACCCGCCTGGCCACGGCCTCGATGCGCCCGGCCATGCTTGCCCGTCCTGCTGCCACCAGCATGGCCCAGAGCGGCAGCTTCCACATGCTGCGCGCTGCTACCAGCAACAGCTTTTCCACAACGGCCGGCCGCCGCGCTGCTGCCGCCGCCGATGGCGAGACGGACGACGAGCTGTCGGCCAAGATTGAGAGCGAGATCCAGATTGAAGAGGAGATGAAGGCGGGCGAGCAGGAGCCGTCGAGCGTCAAGGACTTTATCGACAACAGCGCGTTTGAGCTGATTGACACGCCTGGTCAGGAAGTCGTCAAGCTGGTGCGCACCTTTGGCGAGGAAAAGTGCGTTCTTGCCTAGTAACTAGAAAAAAATACTTGCACACACCCAACTAACAAACCCCTGACAGAATCACCATTTCCTTCTCCATTGCCGACATCAACAACTTTGACCCCTACGCCGACGAGGCCGCCCTCGAGGACGAGGGCCTCACCGACGACCTCCAGGCCGCTGAGAGCGGCAAGCAGCGCGCCGCCAACCAGGACGTCGAGTCGTCCGACCTGGAAACCGACCTCGACGAGGAAGAGACCCCCGCGCCCATCACCCTGTCCATCATCGTCGAGAAGCCCGGCAAGACCCCCGGCGCGCTCGCCATTGATGCCGCCGCCCAGGACGGCACCATTGTCGTCGAGAACCTCTTCTACTACGCCGACGCCAAGCTCGCCAAGCTCGAGACCCCCGAGGCCGCCCAGCAGCGCGCCGACGTCTACCCGGGACCCCCCTTTGGCAGCCTCGACGAGGACCTGCAGGTGCTCGTCGAGCGCTTCCTCGAGGAGCGCGGCGTCACGCAGGCCCTGGCCGTATTCGTGCCAGACTATGTCGACCTCAAGGAGCAGAATGAGTATCTGCGCTGGTTGAACAATGTCAAGGGCTTCATTGACGCGTAAAAGTGTGGTCGCTAAAGTTGGCGCCTGCAAGGGGTGCAGATTTGAGAAGGACTCAAACGTGTAACAGGTAACAGGAAAAGAGGACGGTTCATGTTGGACTCTTTTTTTTTCTTGTGATTTATTGATTTCTTCACTCTTGTTGTTTAACTTGTACAATATTGAAAAACCCCAAAACCAGTGGGCGGGTCTGTAAGAGATTTGACGACTATCTATAATAGCGAATTGATAATGGGCGGTGCAAGGGGCACCGGTTACGTTTTACTACCAATGACTCGTATTCACGTGTACTTGTTATAAACTTGCATGCTGGGAGAAATGACTTGCTGTTCTGAAAGGTCAAGATTAAAATACACGGGTGGTGCTCATTCACATGTGTGTGTGTGTGTGTGTTCCCTCGAGAAGTTCTGCTCGTTGTCTAAACAGGGTGCGGAATCCAACAATAACCACAAAAGACCAATAAAAAAAAAGGAGGAAATGTCCATCTATCCCAAAGAAGAAGAAAAAGTAGTGGGAGCCAACACGAATGATATCAGACACCGGTCGTATGCAAAAAAAAAAAATAGAGGAAAAAGAAAAAAGACCAAAAAGAAACCAAGGTGTACCACGACGTAACCGATGGCATCATCTTCCGCGAGCGGTCATGAGAAGAGCAAAACAATAAGCATGACCAAAAAAAAAATGTATATGTATATAGCAGCTTTGTTTCTCTACAGCTGCGGACCCCGCGGAACACGATACGCAAAAAAAAAAAAAAAAAAAAGAGAGCCGACGTTGATCATGTCAAAATTCAAATGCCATCAAGCGACCAGTCGCTCTTTTGCGAGCGCTCGAGGACCTGGCGGCCCTTGTCCGTCAGCTCGGGCTGGCCCTCGTTGCCGACGGCGTGGGAAAAGTAGACGGGGCGGTACGTCTCGCCGGTGCGCTCGCGCTCGCGGACCTTGACGCGTTGGGCCTCTTCGAGCTCCTGCTTGATGGTCGTGGCCCGGGAGAACTGCTTGGCGTGAATGGCCTTTGTGACGTCGCCCCAGAGGGTGAGGGACTCGTTGGGCGCCTGCTGGTCCTCGGGGGGGAGAATCTTGGGGGCGACCTGCAGCGGGGCCGTGTCGATGATGGTGTATTGCTGCTCGACGGGGACCTGCTTCTAGGGTGTGTGTTAGCAAGCTTCGGGGGGCTGGTGTTTGAGTTTTGTCCGAGTCAATCGTGCAAACATACCACTGGCGTCGAACCCAGAGTAAAGACAACTTTTTCCCTCCAGGGTCCGCTGAGACGGACGAGAACATCCTGCTCGGGCACGTCCTGGATGCGCGTCTTGTCGTCATTCTCGGGATCATAGCGGAAAACGACGCCGTCGACTTTATTCGTGGTGCGGCCGAGCCAGCCCTCCTCGACGTAGCTGAGGATGGCCTTGAGACCCGTCTTGGGGCAGGTGATGTAGGCCGTGTCGCTGACAGAGACGGTGAGGCTGCCGCGGAGCAGGCCGCCGAGGTGAGCCGCCGGGTGCGTGAGCTGGTACTTTTCGCCGTCGCGGTGGGCGAGCGTGACAAAGATGCCGAGGTTGTGCTCGCCGGGCAGCACCTTGATCGAGGTGCCGGTAAACTTGGCCGTGATCTGGTCAAAGCCGCGCGCGCTGAGGCCTCGCTCGGGGCAGCTAATGTGAAAGGCCGAAACTGGTGGGTGATGCGACGTCTGCTCTGTCAGGTACGAGACGGTGACGGGCTGCGAGTCCTGCGAGGTACCGTGGGTGGGCGGCGAGAGGGACGGCGTCGAGGCGTTCTTGTTGCTCTTGACGCTGGATTTGCTCGAGGCGGCGGAGCTCTCGCCGCCGAGCGTGTTGGTGAGGATCTTGGGCGCGTTGTTCTCCGTCTCCCAGTTGCACTGCAGGTGGCGACGTTAGTACTTGCACGCGGCGGCTGCGTGGTTGTCGAGGCAAGCCGGCAGGAGAGTCGTGACGTACTCTGAAGAACTCGCCCAGACACGAGTTGTAGGGCTTGCAGGGCTTGCCCTTGGCGTATTTGAGGTCCTTGGTCAGCCAGAAGCGGACGACCTCGAGCATGCGGTCCAGAGGCTCGTCCGAGGTGCCGATGGCGACAAAGGCATTGGGGGCGTCGAGGTAGGTCCAGTATTCGAGGTTGGGCGTGGGCTCGAGCAGCTGTGAGGGCAGCGAAAATCGGACGGCGGCAAGGTCAGACACGCCGATGAATCTGTTGGGAGGCAATGGAAAGTACCGGTTAGCATGTCTGAGGCTCAGCCGAAGAGGGTCACGGCGGTGGTCGGTCGCGAGGCAACGCACACCGCCCACAGGTTGGAGGGTCGCATATTATGTTGAGGACGGGCTGCGGCAACAATAGCGGGCGGGGCGCGTAACCAGGCCCAAGAAGAGACGATGTGACAAAGGAGAGGAAAGAACTAACTTGCGCAGAATGCCGAGAAAGGTGCGCAGCTTGGAGCCGTCGCTCTGATGTTCGTCGGGTGCGTCGACGGTGGGCGGCGGCGCCGATGACGAAAGTGTTTCCGTCTGCATCATTTTGTACGGCGGCGTTTGTGATCTGGGTACGGAGTTGGTCGAGATTGGAGCGTCGGTGGTAGTCGGTAACAATGCGAGGTTCGATTGCTGCGTACTCATCCAAAATTAAAAATGGAATATGAGAAGAAGGAGAAGCCGGGAGGAATATTCAAAAAAGAGAAAAAAGACGGGTGCTGAGGATTGAAGGGGAAAAAAGAGGAGATGTTGGAGAGTTTCTACCTAGGTTGGATGCCACCGAGGCTTGGGGCTTGGGGGACTTGCTGCGTGACGCTGTGGCGGCGCACGAGGATTGACTTTCCGTCCCAGGGTTACATTGGTGGAGAGGTACCAGGTTGACCAAGTACGGATCAAGGCTGTCATTTTATTTCTCATATTTCTGTACATGTATTGCATGTTGACCTTTTATCTCCCCTCGAATTCTTCTCATCAAAAGTACCTCGTTGTAGCGACTGATGCATCATGTCGTCCGGCCATGTAGGTACCGTCAGCAGGTACCTGTGCCTCTCGACAGGACCAGAGACAAGCCACCCGACCATGGTCCAGAGTGGCGCAGCCTATGTTTCCCTTCTAATACCTGCTACTTGGCCACTTGGTCCCTAGCAAACCCAAATTTGCAGCTTCTATCCGTACTTTGAAACTGCAACCGTCAAGAGCCAAAACTTGCCGTGCTAGGGTCCAGACCGGGGGGCACACGTCGGAGGGAGGAGCCGCGATGACGCTACATGTGTAATATATTCAAGGATACAAAGGACCGCCGCCCCAACGGCGAGAGAGTGCGTGGCGGGCGCAAGACTACAAAACCCCCAGATGCGGCCATGACATACCGACTTGCCTCTCCCCTTCCTCCTCCATGCCCGCCAGCCTGCGAAACCAACGCTCCCCTTCTACCAATCCAATCATCCGATGCCACCATATGCGCTGCTTCACTGGCCATCCCGGAGCCGCGCTAATCCCGCCCATCTGCTCATCTCGGGGCTCCGCTCCTCCCCTCCCTGCCCCGGAGGCGCGCCCAACTCAGCCAATCGCTGGCGCACATGGCTCCAGCCCGGCCCCGATTCGACCGCACACGGCCAAGAGCGGACGAGCAACACGGCGGCAATGTCTCAACCGTTTGTTTCTTTTCTTTCTATTTTTTTTCTCTCTCGACGAGCTGGCCATCTCGGTAAAAAGCTCTACCCCGTAGTATCGTTCATCGGACAGCTCGTTGCCCTCGGCTCGCCTTTGCGGGGTGAGATCGATATAGGAGACGTGGCGTGACACATGCCTCACTCGGTCCGCGCTCTGGAGTTGAAACACTTCCTGATTTTGAATTCTGACTTTCAGCCGTAACCGAGTCATCTATCGTTTTCCTTCGAGACACCTCTCACATTGTCGTCTCTTGATCGTAGGCATACCCTGCACCGTCGCAGCTTAACGACTTGCTCTATTGCACAGAGAGACCGATGTAGATCATCACCATGTGATCAAAGATATTGCGAGATCTTTGAAGCATTAAGTGGTAAAAGTAGCTTGCAAAAGCGTTTTGGGGTTCGCAAGAATGAAAGTGGCTGGAACGCCCATCTGGAAGCTGCGTGCATCTCCTCACTTACATGGTCAGCTGGCCCTGAGTTGGCCTTGAGCTGGCATGCCGCTTGAGGCCCATCATATACTCAAAAATCATATGACCGGCAGATGAAATTCTTCCCCGCACACATATTAATCCCCACCAGAAGTCTGATGGTTGCAGTCTTCTCCAGGTTTCCTGCGTGGGTTCGCGCATCTCCCCCATGGACCCCAGCGTCCTGTAGTCCGCAAATATGTAGATAGGTGTTTTTTAAAAGGTAGCGCGGCCGGAAGGACTGCTTGCTTCTGAACATCGTTACAGTATAGGGTAGCTCACGAGTAGACGCAGATAGCCCAGAGGAACTCGCAAGTGTTGATTCAAATGCGGATTCGAATAAATTACTCTTTCAAACAGGGATTTGTATACTACTGAATGTATACATCATTGTGACTTATCGCTGCTAGGGTAAGGATTAACGCATATGGCCCGGCCGTTGCTCTTGCAGTCCACCGCGCTTAGCCACCACGACACTTTCACAAATTCGCTGCAATCCTTGACAATGATGGAAAGATTCCATCTTTGCAAAACATGGATTGTGCTGAGTTACGTTGGGTGCCTTAGTATATCGCTGCAGTATGCAATTGCCTTGGCTGGCTGTGATTTATATGCCCGAGGCTGCGACGATGGCCGCTTCGTCGACTTCTACATGGATAATAAGATAACTTCAGGCTAGCATTTATATCGCCGCTATAAGAGAAATAAAAAAACCAGCCATTGTATACAAATCACGAGTATATTGTAAGGCTGTTTAGCCAGCCGAGATTGTACTTGTCATGCGTAGCTCTATCCTTCCGTGCCTGTCTTATGTGCGGACATTCGAGTGTTACTCAGCTGTCCGGATTGCACCAATCTAATGGTGGGGGAGAGGGCTAATACCGCAGTTAACTTCATATGACTGGAATTGATTGGTTTGCCATTTTGTTCACTACAGGGAGAATGGAATGTACGATACACTCGGCGCTGGGGGCACTTGCGCCGGCCGTATGAGTGGAATGGACCAGACCTATTGCAAGCTCAAAGTGATTGAGGGCATCACTAGACGTCACAGATGTAGCACGGATAGCGAGATTGTATCACGGCTCCATTGATTACAAGATACTGGCGCTGGCGCTGATGAGGTGAGGTCGCAGGGCAGAGGCACTGTGTCAAGCTGCAGACTGTACCTGGCTGGCTAGGGGCCTTTCTCCAAGATTTTATTCTCACAGAGATGAATTTCGGTCATCTTGGATCAATATATACCAAGTCATACATACTATGATCTGTATACCCCTACGATCTGGACAGTCCCTGATGACAGAATTGCGCCGCCGTGCAATATGTCAATGGACTTTCTCCGCCGGCATCACCACAACGCCATTGATTAACAACTAGAGTCATCCGATTTATTTACGAGTTACAGGTCAGTCTCCCAAATTGCTGAAACAAAGTTCAATAAACTTCATGTAAGTTCTTCTGAATACCGCCTAGTGTGTTTCCAGTAACAAGGGCCGTCACGACCGCAAGCGCCAGCATCTACAACAATTTCCATACACCTAGTCTAGGACCTAATGTTTCTTGTTTAATGCGATTGGGAATTGTGTTACAGTTACACTACAAGCTCTTCTATCAAGAGGCCGTGATACTGCAAGCGCTCTAGGCACATGATCGTCCCCGGGAATTCGGCGCCGACCACGACTGTCCATCGCAGCCACAACCAGCCCATCTGAGCATATTCTGCCTGGACCGTATGGACGTCTGTGTGATCTCTACCCGAAGCTTTACCCGAGACCACAAATTCATCTCAGTAATTGCTAGGAGCGACGCAGAGTGCGCCGAGACTGCTTGCACCAGGTTAGGGCAGCCTGGTAGGGTGCACCGCTGCATGTTAGTCCCCGGGCAGGGCAGGATCCTACGTTTACTATTCGTACACTAGTAAAACGTGAATTTGCTGCAATTACAAATTGTTGAAGGAACGAGGCCCCTCATTACTTGTACGTCATTCCGTCTTCTAGTCGGGGACTAGAACTCGCCGTGCGTACTAGGAATCGGTGTAGTGGGCTCGTGCAGAACATACAACATCCCGTGGAGAAGCAGGAAAAGATGGCATAGATCTCGGCTTCACGCCGAGTATGGAGCTCTAATGAAGTAACCCAGGACTGATCAGTCATTCAAAATCGAGGTTGCTTGCCGACTGATTCGGCGATCAGCACCCTATCTGGCAGTCGACATACTGAATTTGTCAACTTATTCATAATTTCTATTTGTGGTTAGTAACAGCCCTAGATTCGAAGCTGCAGTCCAAGTCAATAAGAGCCATCGGCGTCGGTCGTACGTTCGCGCCGCTCTCTCTCTCCCTCAGAGCTCCGCGGTTCCGCCTTTCGATCCTGCATCGACCATGAGGCAGCGTCTGCCAACCGGAACCAATAAATCCATAACTAACAAGCTCAATGCGTAAGGAATAGTCTCCCCCACAGAGGAAAGGAAGTGTTGGATAACATAACTAATCATGAAAGTGAAAAAGGACAAAAAAATCGATAGCGCATGTTGCGGCTTGGCTAGCTGGGACGCGCAAGTGGGCCCGATAGAGGGAACAGAGAATGGGCTTTGTATCGGTTTCGTAGCTTGTTAGAGGATAACGAATGCAGATGTCGATTGTCTTTCTCCTCGTGGGTTGTTCAGAACCGCTCGTGGCGGCTTCGAGTTGCACGCAGACTCCGATCGCGAAGGTATCAGGTGGAATCGTGAAGACGATCTTCTAGCTAGACTGGGCCAGTTAAGAAAAATGTTAGCCTGGATAACCACGCAACTCTCTGGGTGTTTTTTGTGTCCCTTTGCTAAATCCTGTGTATAGCTGATCGATTGGAGAGAAAATAGGTACCAGCATCCGATTGGACGGGACAAGTACAGAAGCGTTGAGCATCGGGGTCAAAGCTGCTGAAAATAACTGCAATGTCATCGACGGTTCGGAATCAACTAGTGACATCCGATCTCATTCCGCCGCTGCGTCATTTTTCTGAGCCACGTGTTGCGCTGAGACAGGGCGTGATTCTTCGGCCGGGGTCCGGGGATGCTCTTGTCTACGGTAGATAATATAGGCGGAGTAACTAGATGCGGACAAGAAACTCCTGGTGGTCGAAGTGTGGCGAAGGTGGCGAAGCGTACGCGAGCTGTCGCGCAAGAATGGACGTTTGCACTAGAACAAAAACGATCCAAGGTGTGGCTGGTACCAGAAGCTGAGTGGTCGAAAAGAACTGAAATCAAAATGGAAAACGTCGTCTTCTCCATGTTGGCGATCTCTGCGGCCAGACCCCCAGGGCAAGATGGGCATTCCTGCCCAAAGCCCATGGCAGTTTTTGCCACCTCCACATCCATGCTTCACCCAAGTGTCCCTAACAGTTCAGCCACAGGTTCCAGTGAAGCAACCTCGTGTGTTACACACTGCGATGCGAGGCGAGTGCATGTCTGTTTGCTTGACTAGGCGGGATGATGAGACACGTGGTGCATCTTAGGACAAAGGCAAGAAGCCGGTAATAAGGCAGATGCAATTAGTTACCAGTTCACGGATGGCTAATCGTGCCAGAATTTTTTAAAGTGTAACCACACATCAGACCACGCCTCAGAGACGTCAACGAAGCATAGCTTGACGGTTACTTACAGGACACTGGATAGCTGGCGGGCTTTGTTGTGAGTCTTCTGACGTTTCGTGGAGGTTTGACGGAATTATGATGCAAGTCGCAGCGGGAGCCACAAAAGCCACGCTGCGGGAGCACAACGCCAACACACTGGAAGCCGGGGCTTTTGTCCAAGGACAACTAGTGGCGGCTAACTCGAGCTTTCTAGGCGACTACGAGTATCGGTTGCACTTTCGCTGGCTGCGATTGTTATAGGAGGGCGAGTACAAAACATCGGCCACAGACATCAGCCTTGGACAGCGGCCGTTGACACCGCCCTGAGGAGAAACGTAAAAAAACTATCACGAAAAAAAAAAAATACTGGATCGCGTCACAGTCGATAGTTAGTCGTGGGCACAAAAACAAAGCCAGGGTCTGAACAAGAACAAGATGCACATCGCCCTGATTTTGTGAGTGATACCTCTAACTGGCGCACAGCCACGTCAGTGCTGAGTGCATGTGTGGCGTCGAGTGGAGAGTACTTCGTAAGGGGGGGGTGTAAATGCCACTTTCCAGGAGATTTCCAGGGATCTCCCAATTGGCGTAGCAAACAAGGTGGGAAGAGAATTCCGCCGTTGATCTGATCCACGGCTGAGGCGATGGGGATGCAGCCCGCCAACACGCCTCAAAGGTTTGGACGTGCTGTGACGTCAGAGCGCTGAGAACTGTGACATATTGTGGCTTTTACTTTTATTACGCAGCCAGGTTTCCGGGTCTCTGCGAAAAAAGTCGGTCGCGCCCCATCTCGGGCCCTGCACGAGCCGGTGTGGCTGAAATGATGCAAAGGAAATATTTTCTTTTCTTCTGCTCGATTCCGTGTTAGCGGCGGAGCCGACTCTCCGGGAAGACACACACCAAGCGTTGCTTGGGAGAGCCGAAAAAGAAAGGGTTTTGGGTAGCCTTTGTGCTGAACCGACATGAATTAATGCAGGATTCTGCAGCAGCTCTTTGACATGGACTGGCACTCGAATATTCCCCACGTTATCGTTGTAGTGTAGCACTTTGATGCACAGCACCAACTCACTGGAAGGTCTCGAAGCGCTCACGGTATTAAAAGGGTCTGGCACTCGACGCGTGAATACCGTTGTTGATATTAGCCGCCCACCTGGCTGTTGTCTGTGGAATTTGGGCTGATACAGACAAGTTCCTCGCGGGCTGTGGGCCACGATGGCTGCATGCAGAACAGGACGAGGTAACTAATCAGGGTGGGTGGGGTTCGCCCGTTGAAACCGAACACCGAGTAGCATGTGTCGTTGAAAGGTTGTTTGGTGTTGTCAAACCCCAGCAAAAGGAAGGCATTGGGAGCCGACAATGGCCGGAAATGCAAATTGCCGATTATAAAAGAGTGAGGACGGTAAAATTGAGCAAGGCGGACACATCACTCCGGAATTAGGAATTTTGGCGGTGTCAAGGATGGTAGAGCCACAGAATCTCGATGTTGAGCGGGAAAGGCCAGTGCGGTTGTACATAGCACAGGGATAATATCTTGATTCTTGGCAGCCTTTGGTGTGTGTAAGCCTGGCGGGCAGCCAGTCAGATTGCACGGCCGTCTGGAGGAGGCAAATCTCGATGCTGTGCCATCCACTAATAAATGTGGCGCGAGCCGGAGGCGAAGCCAGTCATAGGCGGGCAAGCTTGTTGTTGACAGTTGTTTCACCGTATCCGGTTGCTGCGTTACTGCCCGTCAGGTGTGCCATTCAGGTTCATGCTTTCTGCGGTAACTACTAGGCATTAGGCTTTTATAAATTGGATCCGGAATGAGAGGCCGGTTCGGGATTTGCACGGTGGTGAACGAAGGACGGAACATTTGGCGCGAGGCTAGTTACATTGCCAGGTTTGTTGAAGTGTTGGCGAGCGACGGGCCATCCTTCTGGGCTTGGTGCCTATCGTGGCTGTTGGCCGTTGAGAATAATGCGTGATGGCGCTCCACGACGTTGCTTGATGGAACTAGAAAGGCGCGAATGAATGGTTGGCCGACGAGAAGGCAGGATGAAGTAGTTGGTGGTACATGCAAACGGAGGCACAGTTGTAACTATGTACCTATCTTGCAGAAGGCTGCGGTGGGGTGATGGGTGCAGATTGCACTGTGCCTAGGAACCTACGCGCACTGTATTTAGGAACCTACAGGCACTGTACCTAGGATCCACGCGCACTGTACGCATCCTGGCAAACACCACCTGGCACCCGTAAGCCTGTTGAATATATCAAGTTACCATTCCAAATTAACAACAAATGTTTATGCCTAAAAAAAACTAGCTGATACGCTTCTCCTTCTATTTTGGCATTAGTAGGCGGATTGGCAGAAAATTGCATCAAGAGGGGGGTGTGCCGATGGTTTGCCCAGCACAATGGCGGCCCCGCAGCTTCACAATCGAAGTCCATCGCCTGCATCGACACTTTTCGTCGTATCCAAGCACCCATCATCCCCTTTGCCCACATCCCCCCTCCCGCTTCACATCTATCCATTTCCCATTTCCCTGCGTGAGACCATCCAGAATGGACTCCATATGCCGCGACGGCACGCAGCTTTTGCTCCTGGCCCGGCCATGCTGTGACAGGGTGTCCACCCTCCCAAATCCTCCATATTCTACTTATTATGCCCAGAACCCTCCATTTTCTTCCGTACCTGAATACCCTTCTTCACCAGCTTCTCTTACAACCTCGTCCAAACGAAACAACAAGTGACATATCGATTGCAAACCTGTGCCAATATACCCCCGACAACTTCACGCTATCTACAATAATAACAAACACCGCCACTAATACCCCAAACCATCCCAACAAGTCAAGCACACAAAAACCACATCAATCCGCCGACTTTGTTCTGGTCTTGGCGCCGTCTTTTCGCTGCACACCAGATCTCTAGTTCCAATACGCGATACTTGAGTCACTGGTACCTCTCATCCACAGCCTCACCTCTCATCCACTTCATCAAACTTCGGCTAGTGCCGCCTGCCCATAAGCTTCGCTACTTAGGTCGAGAGCTTCGTGCTTGCCACTTGAAACGGCCACGGGTCCCAGCATTATAATAAAGCAACCTCGCACCGGCTCGGGTGCAAACACCTTCACTATGCGAAGCAACTCTTTAGACTTTAGCAGTTTTGAAAGCATGAATACCCCCATCATATACAAGAAGGTATGCTGCCTCCTCCACCATATATTCCTTCATAACAATTCTAACAAGCTGCGCCCTACAGACGGAGAGGTCGCACGAGGAAAATCAAGAGCGAGCCTATATCGCCGCCTCACGCCGCACAGATCGCAGTCTTGAAGCGCGCGTGCAGTCAGCACGAATGGCCAGCGAAATCCACAAGAAACGCACTGGTAAAACCTTCCGCATCACCGAAGAAATTGTGCTTAACGAGGAGATGTACGAAGAGGAAGATGACGACCTCCCTCGCTCATATAGAGTTTTGAGTTCGGGCAGGCTGCAAAGCTCTACGAGTGATACCAACAATAGAGCAGAGGTATATCTGTCCAGCAGGGTCGCCCTGTCCACCATGCTCGCCCGCACCAACGATGAGTGGAGGCAGAACGACGTCAACCAGAGATTCGCCGCGCTTTTCCCCCAGCATGCGACTTTTGACACTCCGCGTCCAGCATCAACCATGTCGCCCTCGCCTCGAGCCCAACAGCCGCAGTTGCAACAGGCGCTCTTCCCTCCACGCCCCCGGGCCGTCTCTCAACAGTACCAGGACGTGCTGTCACACTCGGAGTCGTTTACACCTACCTCGACCATCTACAATCAACAGCACAGCTCTGCGCAACTGCACAGCCCTGAACAACAACACAGCCCTGCGCAGCACGATAGAGCATTTTCTGCCCCTTCTGGTGGCCAATACCCACTCCAACACCCGAACTTCCTAAGACAAGACTCTGGCGTTGGTCTAACTGCATCTCCGACCAACTTTGGCAACTCTCCAACCAACTTTGGCAATTCTCCGACCAACTTTGGTAACTCTCCAAACAACTTTGGCAACTCTCCTTTAGCAGTCTCCCCCATGGAGTTGGGATCCAACCGATCTGCATTCACGTCGGAGCTGCCCCCAGAAGCTAGAATGATGATGTTGGGAGGTGCTGGTATGAACTCTGACTACGAGCCAGCAGCGCCCGGAAACTGGCCCAACATGGACGGCTCATATTCCGAATCTGAAGTCCCCCGCGGCTCAAAGTCTGAAGAAGAGACAGCGATTTCTCCTAACAACGAAGGCTTTGACGCGACCAACCTTAGATGGGATCAAATGATGCAACCAATGGACGATTCGACCTGGAATACTTTTATTAACGATAATGCGTGGGCTGACGGTCAATGACGGGTCGTACTATTCTCAGGACGAGTTGGAACGTTTATTTCCTGTATCTTTATACTTTGCAGCGGCTGTACATGAGGTTTACGGCATTGGAGTAGGGAAGAATGGTACTACGATTGTTCTTTGGGCGAACATTGAAAAAGAAAAGACAAGAACAAGACATATGAAAAAATGTACATGCACCTGGGGATTGATTTCAGCGAACGGAGGTTGTTTTTCATCATGATGGCGACGAGTGTCAGAGGGAGACACGTACACGAAACAAAAGCAGCATCGCTGCAGCGTTCATATTGTGGGCCGATAACACATACACGAGAGCCCAAGATGACAGTATGAATAATTTTACACTACCTGTCAAACTATATTTTCAGCAAGGTGACGGGGCTCTGCGGGCTCAACTTGAACGAGTCTAGATTGAAGTGACGTGGCAAACTACCTAAAGTAAGGTTCGCCAGCATTGCAGCCAGCTTTGGCTCTAGCAGTAGAATGTAATATCAGACGGACGTCGGTATAGCAGCTGGCTTCTAGGCCAATGGATGAATTAAGCACTCGACGTATAAACTTTATTCTTCGTCATTTACGTTTGGGAAGCTGGCTCGATCTGGTGGACGGCCCGACCCAAGTATCGCTACTTGTCGAACTTTGACAGGATGACTCGAGACTAATCGGGTTTAATATGCCTCTGCATTGACCAGGCTTGGCGATTTTTACTCTTCCAGAAGATGATTTTAGCTTCTTTTTTTTTTTTTTTTTTTTTTTTTCCATTCCCTAGATCTACCTCTAGTTAGTCGGGCCTGTTCCCTCGTAGCGTCCAGTCCGTCCAAATTCTAAAAAGCGCCCTGTTTTGCGCTATGCTTGCCCTCTCTGTTTGCCTTGCGGCTGGTATATATTGACTCTCCTTGTGCATAAAGCGAAATTTCAAAAGTCAAAAAAAAAAACAAAAACAAAAAGCCAACTCTAAAAGTACAACAAGTACATAAAGTACAGGAAAGCAGACGCCATTTTTCGTGATGCAACAAAAAAACAAAGAAAACTGTTGAGCGAAAAACTCGGCTCTTGGACGCATTCAGCCACCCACTTCGTAGTCGTACAGGCCATGGCTCAATTAGTAAATCAGAAATGGGCTGCTAGAGCAGCTCATTGGTGTCGGTAGTAGGGACCCTGATGAGGGGCGGCGCCGTACACGGAGGGTTGCTGTGGGTAGCGCGCGCCGTAGGCCGCGCCGGCGTAGACGAGGCCTGGGTGGTGCCCGAGGCCCGGCGTGGCGGCGGTGGCAGGACCATGCATCGACGAGGGCGCGTAGCTGTACTGTGTCGTAAAAGCCTGCATCTGAGGCTGCTGCTGCAAAGCGGCGTAGCCGTGTCCGGCCATGTAAGCGCTCGAATGATGCTGCTGGTGGTGCTGCGGCATGAAGCCGGCTTGCTGGGGAGCTCCTGCGAAAAAACATCTTTGGTGTAAGCCAATAGGTTTTTTGGGAATCAACGTGGGATGCTAGAAGCCCCCCCCGGAGGGAACACGTACCTGATACAGGATACCCGTAGCCCATGGACATGTTCACGGCTTGTTGCTGTCCTTGGGCAGCTGCGTAGGCGTGGGGCGGCGCGGCGCCGGCGCCGGGCTGGTACGGCATGGCGCCGCTAGGAAAGACGGCGGCCTGGGAGGCACGGGGCGTGTTGCCACCGCCGCAGGGGTACATTTGACGACCTAGACGCGACGCGAAGGAGCCTGGCGCGGCGCCGGTGCAGTCGTAGCCTCCGCGAGGCATTGTCGGGTTGGAGGGTGTTGTGGGCTTTTGGGAAAAAGTCTGGTTCTTGTGTAGGGCGTGGATCGAAAGAAGGAATGCGTTATCGAGTTCAGGCGAATTCGGCAGGAAAGAGAAGAATGACAGACGAAGAGGGAGGCAACGGTCGATTGGCGTGTGTCGAGAACAAGAGGTCTTATAAGAGACGATTGTTGACAATGATGTTGAAGGAAGAACGTGTGCCAGGAGGAAGGGGAAATTTGTTGTCTTTTTTTTTTCTGCGCTTGCTTCACATTTCACATTGTATATTCACCAGGTGAATTGAAAAGTACTCTGCTGACGAGGCGCAGGGGTGCTTTCTCAGAGCAAAGTGAAGGCAATCTGAACAATGCGCATCGGGCGTTTGCAAAAAGCGAAATTCACTAGGCCGACTGATGCAGCCCCCAAATCGGACGTGCTTGCATTTTTTTCATCAAGAAGAGAAAAAAATTGTATAGATGAATGTATCGGGCAACATGGCCTGTTAACAATGATATAAAAGACAAGGGCATCGTAGAAGCATGGCAGGCTTGTGTGTCTTTTGGTTTGTTATCTGGACAATTCATTGTAACAAAGCGACAAGGTCGTCGTGGATAAGGCAACATATCTGTCCGCACGGCCCCTACAAAAGTTGTATAACTTGACCAAGGTTTTGGGGCGTGTCAGTTTACAATACAATAAAGGACAAAGAGAAGGGGCAAGAATGCAATTGCACACTGACCACCATATACTAAGTTTTGGCAGGAGAGCCTCGCACAGGGCGATTGGGTAAATAAAAAGAAACAATGAAAAATTGGCCGGCTTGTAGACATTACAGTTAGAGGAACCTGTGGGGGGCCGGGACAAGACAATGGAACAAGGTAGCAATGGGCAATCAACGAGGCAATCGCTGGGGGCGGAAAAGACACGACAAGAGCAATTCCGTGTTCTGGAACGGGAAGGAGGAAATTCATCGTGTGACGCTGAGCGGCAAAGTGAATCAGGGGGGGTGGTTTTTCTTGGTTGTTCTCCCGGTCCAAGAGGTCACACACGGCGCCTGTTTTTGCTGAGACCGCCCGGTTGGAAGGCGCTGTTGGGTTTCCCGTGGCGGCAACGTCGCTGATGAAACCGCCCAGAATGCTCATGTGCAACAACACGGGAAAGCAGACGCCGGCTTTCCCGAAACAAGAAACCCAGGTTTCCGGGCCCCCGGGAGCTGGACCCCCTTCTGATTGGTGACGTTCTTGTCGCGCGGCACAACTTTTGTCGCGCCCTCTTCCCCCAGGGCACACTACTTATCTCGAGAGCGCTAGAATTTTTCTGGTAGTATGGGCGACAATGTCAGCTCCGATGACCGGTCGCCCAAATCCATGGACTTTTCTCACGCTGCTGAGGTGCATTCCACCTACCTCGGCACGGAAATAGTGGCCGTAGCGGAGGATGCGCGCCGATTGGGTGGGGCCGAACATCGCGGGGTAAAAAAGGCCGTTCCTGCTAAAGAAAAATATTTCGGTTTGCTATTACTTCTCGTGGCGTTTTTGCTACGTTTTTCTTCTTCTTCTTCTTCTTCACGCATAGCATATAGATTTTGCTTGCCTCAAAAACTCCAATTGAGCCTTCTACATTCCGTTGACAGTGGGCAGCCATGCTGTTCAAATCTGCCTACCCCGATATACACGGTACGTCGGCCACTCCTCCCAAAACCCCGCCAGAACGCAACCACCAACAAAAAAACCCACGCCTTCAAAAAGTCCCGCCCGACCTCACCCTCTGGCAATGGCTCTTTGAAGGGCCCTCGCCCGCCGCCGGCTGCAGCTCCCCGGCCGCCGGCGCCGCTGCTGTCACGCGCGAGTACATCAACACCCACACCAACACGCGCCTCACGCACGCCCAGATGCGCGACGCCGCCGCCGCCCTGTCCGCCGCGCTGGTCCGCCGCGGCCTCCGCCCCGGGGACGTGGTCGCCCTCGTCTCCCCCAACGCCGTCACGTACCCCGTCTGCCTGCACGGCGTGATGCGCGCCGGCGGCGTGCCGGCCGTCACGTCGCCGGCCGCCAACGAGACGGAGATGAGGCACGCGCTCCGCACGGTGCGCGCCCGGTTCGTCATGTGCGCGCCAGAGACGCTGCCCGTGGTGCGCGCGGCCGCCGCCAAGGAGGGCATCGATAAAGAGTGCGTGTTTGTGTTTGCGGATGAGGAGGATCGCGTCGACGGCCATGTGTCGCTGAGTCAGTTGGTCGAGGAGGGCGCGCGGAAAGGATGCATGCCGCCGGTGGGCTTGCCGACGGGAATGACGAGTGCGCAGGCGACGGCCTTCTTGTGCTTTAGTAGTGGCACGACTGGTCTGCCGAAAGCTGTGAGTTGGTTTTGTGCGCCAGTGAAGAGGCGGGGGGGCACATCTAACAGCATCCCCAGGTCATCATCTCGCACGCCAACATCATCGCGCAGTGCCTCCAGCTGAACCTCGCTTACACCCACAGCCCCATGGCCCTAGGTCTTCTGCCCTTCTACCACAGTAAGTCCCCCTCCTCTGCTCTACCAACCTCCAATACTAAGCCTCCAACCCCGCCAGTCTCCGGCCTGGTGCGCGCCCAAGTACACTGCCTGGTCAGCCACACGTCCATTGCCGTGGTGCCGCGCTTCACGATGCCGGCGCTGCTGTCTGCCATCAGCACGCACCGCATCGCCGAGGTGAACCTGGTGCCGCCGATCCTGATCCGGCTCGCGCACGACGCCACCGTGGCCGCCTACGACCTCTCGTGCGTCGAGCGCTGGGCGACGGGCGCCGCGCCCGTCAGCCCCGAGGTGCTCGCGCTGCTCGCCGCGCGCTTCCCCGGCACCGGCTTCAAGCAGGGCTACGGCATGACGGAGACGACGGCTTGCGCGACGACGCACCCGCCGCACCTCTACGACTTTAAGCACGGTCGGTCCGTCGGCACGCTCGTCGCGGGGACTGTCATGAAGGTGGTGAATGAGGACGGCGTGGCTGTTGGGGTCGGGGAGCGTGGTGAGGTGAGAACTCTTTTGTTGAAAAAAAAAAAAAAAAAAAAAAACAACTTGCAACGATGGCTAATCTGGGGGAGGGCCACAGATTCGCGTCAAAGGACCGCAGATTGTCCCCGGATACCTACACAACCCCGAGGCCACGGCCGCCGCCTTTGACGCCGAGGGCTTCCTGCGCACCGGCGACGAGGGCTCCGTCGCGGCCCCAGCTCACCATCCACGACCGCATCAAGGAGATGATCAAGGTCAAGGGCGCCCAGGTCGCCCCGGCCGAGCTCGAGGACCTGCTGCTCGGCCACCCGGCCGTCGCCGACGCCGCCGTCGTCGGCGTCCCGGACGACTACGCCGGCGAGCGGCCCTTTGCGTTTGTCGTCCTGCGGCCGGGTGCCGACGCCGCGCGGGCCCCCGACGACGTCGTGGCGTACGTCAAGGAGGCCCGGACGAGGAGCAAGTGGCTCGCCGGCGTGCGCGTCGTCCACGCCATCCCAAAGAGCCCGAGCGGTAAGATCCTACGGCGAATCTTGCGGGACGAGTATAAGAAGGATGCGCAAGCGCAGAGGGCAAAGCTGTAGAGCATGGTTTATAGACGATAAAACAAAAATATTCTGATATATAGAGGCAAAAAAACTCCCAACCGTGGTGAATGAACCCGTTGCTTTTCCCAGACATTTTGCAAGATATATACACATTTTAGTTTTCCCTTCTTTTCCCTGCCCGAGCACCACCATTCTTGTGCACAGACGTGACCTGCTGCGACTCGTCAGCCACCATGTCCTTGATCCATGCCTTCCAGTCGTGTCGCCTCGTCTTCCACAAGTCGCCGCGCCACGCGCGCCACGCGCTGCGGCCCATCCAGCAGTCGCGCAGCGTCGCCTCGGCGTCGCCGAGCGCCTGCATGACGCCGTCCTTGACGTGTGCGGGCACGCTGTAGTCGCGGCCCCTGGTCGGCAGCTCGGCCATGGCGACGACGATGTTGTGCCCGTTTAGCGACACGGCGAGGGCGGCGACGTGCTGCGGCGCCAGCGCGTGCACGGTGGACTTTTGGAAGACCGCGTTGGCCGAGGGCGTCTTGAGCGCCGTGGTGACGAGCGTCGCCGTGGGCAGAGACGTGGTGGCGAGCCGCAGAAGGAGCGCGGGCGGCAGCGCGGAGAGGGATTCTTGCACGCCCTTGGCGGGGCCGGGGATGGCGAGGAGCGTGGTGAGGAGCTGCGCGCCGTGCGACTGGATGGCATATTCATTCTTGCTGAGCTGGGTGATATTCTTCTTCTTCTTCTTGGCCGCGTCGTCGTCGTCCTTGTCGTCGCTGTCGAGGGAGCACAGCGTCGTGACCAGATCCGCGGGCTGCGCACCGCAGCCCTCGCGGAGGCCCTTCATAAGCTGCTTCACCTCCTCCGTCAGACCACGGGCCGCACAGCGCTCAAACAGCGTCTTGAGAACGTTGTACCGGTGCTTCTCCACGAGCTGCGGCACCGTCGGCCCAATCTTGGCCACAGCCTCTACGAGCTGGTCCTTGCCGATGCGCTGCAGCACCTTAATGGCCGGGTAGCAGGCTACGTCGTTGCGTACATAGCCCTGGATGCGCGGCAGCATGATGTTTTGGTTCAGTGCCTTGAAGACCTTTCCAGGTGCGTGCGTGACGATGGTCTCGACGAGGCGCGAGCCGATGGGGTCGTAGATCATGCCGTTGATCTGCTCGGTTGCCTCGGATGACTCTTCGTACAGCGACTGCGGCGCGCCGGGGAGTAGCTGGAACAGAAGCGTCGGTTGCTTGTTCTGCGCGGCGGCAGCGGCGTCGGCATCGTCGATTTGTTTCTCCGCCGCCTTGTTCTCCGCCTTGTTGAGGGACAGGTCGAGCTCGAGAAACAGCTGCAGGGTCGGGTTGCCGATGGGATGTGTCGCGAGGACGCGTAGGCTGCTGGCGTCCATGGACGACGTGGCGTCGCGGATGATCTTGGTGACGGCGGCCGCAAACGACGCCGGGACCGCGCGCACGCCCTGGTTCTGCTCGTCAACCAGCGCGGACCCGGCGACAAACACTCTTTCCTTCTTCTTGCTCTTAATGAGAGTCTTGGACGCCGCGTCTTCCAGCGGCCGCCCCGACAGCACGAGCAGCAGCACCCGCAGCGCGTGCGAGGCGAAGCGGTCCGTCATGAGAGAGCCCAGGCTGCCTTCCAGCTCGTCGAGCGTCGCGAGGAACAAATTCTCCATTGAATTCTCAGGCTCCTGCGCGTCTTCCTCTACAGCCCCCGTCGTGTCGAGCACGAAACCCGCGAGCTCCTGCGAGACGACGCCAGCAGAGCGCAGAAACAGCGCCTCGCAGCAGTGACTAGCGAAACGATGCTGCACCAGCGAGAGGAAGTGGCCGCCAAACGCCTCAAAGAGCCGCTTCTTCTGCGCCGTCGTGGCCAGCTGGATCAAGCGCTCCATCAGCCGCGAGCACGACTGGCTGCTTGCGACCTTGAGCTCCTTGCCCTTGGCCTCCTCATAGACGCTGTCGAGGAATAGAGCGCGGTCTTCGGGCGTCGGGAACTGGTTCAGCTCGAGCATCTCGTCAGCCCGCCGAAAGTACTCCTGCTCCTCGTCGGCGAGCATTCCAAAGAATTCCCTCTCGGCCGGTTCTTCCTCGTGGTGCGCGAAGCCATTGTCGCCGGCCGACGCCGCTTCGTCCTGCCGGTCGTAGCCGTTGTGGTGGTGGCTGTGATTGTGGTCAATGTCGTCGCCATCGACGCGAGCTCGCTTGGTCTCAATCTCTTCGATGTAATCGCCTTCCTCGGCATTCTTTCTCTTGCGTGCCTCGCGGCCGGAGCCTCTTTTTGTGCGTGGCTTGGGCATGTTTACTGTGGTTGTTGCTGGGAGGCTGGTGGGGTGGTGAAGATGGAGTTTGCCAACTTTTTTTTTTGGCTCCCGGTGCGATAAGATAAGGAAGGCTAAATATACATATTGGAAAGCAGAGCTATTCATTTTTTGCACTTTCTTTCCCCATCTAATATTATTTAGAAGTGCTTTGACATTTTCTGATCTTTCTGATATGTCTAATTCCAATTTCCCCATTTAAACGTTTCTTTGATGGAATTATTTCCAGACACCATCGGGCTACTTATTAATTGCCAAATGCCAGGCCGCGAAGTGGAGGCCGCTCGACAGATCGAAAAGCTCCGACAATAAGTATAGAATATCACCATTGATTGAATCATTGCCGATTTTATTACTCGGAGCTCTCTTTCCGCTACGCACCTAATTACGCCTACACACCACCGTCTCACTACCTACACGTGCCACACCCCCACTGTATTGCTCGAAAACACAAGAATTACCGCCTTCAGGCAGGAGGAATTCTGAAGGCATCACATGCGCGCTCTATGGTCAAAGATGGCGAAAATGAAGAGCTTAGGACGGCCCGCAATAAGGTGGCAAGGGCAGGCGCCGCTGCTAAAAGACTCGAATATCTGGAAAGAAACAAGAATGAAAACGATACTGGCGAAGCGCTAGCGATTTAGGCGCTGAGGAATCCAGTTAGTTTTTTTTTATCATTTAAATTAAATTAGTTGCGCATTTTTGAAGCCATCGCGTGCCCCAGGGTGGCTCGCGAGGCTATGTGGCGCGCGTGGCTACAACCTCGCCGCGCGCGCTGCCAGCGCGTAGGTACCAAGACATGTGCGACGAGTCAAGTGGGCGTCTGCGACGCTCATTTGAAACGCCTCGCCAATTGTTTCGGCGGTAGGATGATTAGACTGGATCTCTGCTTCTTCATCGCGTGGATCTGATGATGTGGAAGAGGCGAGGGAGGTTGCGGGGATCTGATGGGGCTGCGGCGCCATGGTGGCAGTGCGAGCAGCAGCCACACTGACAGCCACACAGGCACACAGGCACGAAGCAATGTCGACATTGCTTCCCATTTCCATCTCGGACTTCGGCGCGCAATGTCACTATAACAAGCCAATTTACGCAAGAATAAATATATGGTATCCCAGACGGCGCAGTTTCAGGAAAGCGGCAAGTACAAAATGCGATTACATCTCCAGCGTATCGCCGTGCCTGGGCTCAGGCCCACTGTATTTTTTGATCCAGGCACCGAAAGACCCTGACTGGCGCTAACCCCATCTGCGGGTATATTTAATTCTCGCCCGTGCCCAACGATGCCATCTCCCCGTCCTCATGCACCCTTCTGAATGCCCTTCCTCGGTCGTTAGCAGCCGTCTCAACGACAGGATCAGTCCTTCCTTTCTAATCCCGGTCTGTCGCCGCACTCCTTTCCGCCGACCGACCTCTCACTCCTTGACAATCTCGCCCCCCGTTTGGCCACCACACGATGTTTGCCTGCATCACGACCGCACTCCTCCTCCAGGCCGCTTCCGCCGCCGCTGCCGCCGCCGGCGCCACAGTCATGGCGACACCGCACGACAGCTACTCGTCCTCGATCGGTGTTCTCGGCTGCAAGATCAACACGGACCGCGTCGCGTACTGGCCCGACACGGTAACCTGCGACAACATTTGCGTGTCGCTGAGCTACCAGGACCGCCAGCTCTACCTCCTCCGCATCGACCAGTCCGGCGGCGCCCACGACGTGAGCTACGACGCCTGGAACTACCTCGTCACCGGCAAGAGTGCCACCCAGGCCCCGACTGCTGGCGGCGGCATCGCCATGACAGCGCAGGCCGCCGACCCCGCCCAATGCCGCGACCTGATCCGCACCCCGGACGGCCGGCTGCCGCTCAGCGCCGCCAACAGCATGAACTACCTCTCCAACTGCCTGGGCCGGGCAGACAGCTGGGTGGCGCGGAATTACGCCCTCTGGAACGTGCTCGATCCGCTGTGCACGCTGGGACGAGACGAGGTGTGCACGCTCGACTGGCCGGCGCAGAACCAGGCTGCGTGCCCGCACCAGCTCGGGCTGCCGGATGTGTTGAAGAGCACGCCTGTATATAATATTCGGTATCCGAGCGGTGAGCGCGTGCTAGCGAGGGGGGTCGGGACATCCGACACCGGCACCGGCACCGGCGACAAGGAGAATGCGGCGGCGGCGAGGTCGGTCGCCGGCTCGCTCCTGTGTCTTGTCGGTGGCACAATTTTACTGGCCATATGGTAGCTGGGCGCTTACCCTCTTTCAATGTTTCGTTTTGAAGACACCGACCACGGCTCTGTTGAGCGCCGTAACGCAACGCAGACTTCTGTATATACTCTTGCTAGATACCCTGTTATATACCCCAATTTACACACCCGACCATTGCGCGTCAGTCGCCCACATCAGCGAGAGCCTGTTTCTTCAATCTCCCGCGCCCGCCCTTTTAGCTAGAGATTAGCGGCGAAACGGGGGAGGCTATTGCAACGGCACTCCACAGCACAGCCTGGCTGGCTGCCAACCTACCTACCTAGTTGGATTAGCGCCAAGCACTGCCCACTGACGCACCAGTACCTAGAGGGTCAAGGTAAGGGGATTGATGGGTGACCGCATTGTCGCATAAGACTTGACCTCTTCAGCACATACAATGCCTCTGTCCTATGTCTCAGGCACACTTCGATCCCTTCGATCCATGCCCGACAAACTTCCTGCTTATTTCCCACGCCCCAGAAACAAGACAAAGGAACTAATCTGCCGTCCTCGCGGCTACTGTGCTTGGTAGCTTTGTCTATGTACCTACCTACTAGTAGGTAATAAGTAGCGACCGTCCGCGACTTATAGTGGACCGTTCCATCAACTGGCGGGTCGCATTGCCATCTTTCGTCCATCTTTCTTCTTTGCGCTGGTTTCCTACTTCTCCCTCTTCCACCACCATACCATTATTCCCAGACCCGAATTGACTCACCCCCTTTCGATTCCTGCCTCCAGCCGAGGAGGCACGGGCGAGCGCGCGCTAGGATGGCTTCCTCGACGGAGCTCACCACCACTGTCTCGCCAACGGCGCTGGCCACGATGACGACGAGTTACAACCAAACCGAATCGAGCCACATGCTGGTCCCGATGACGACGCCGTTTTCCATGTCGCCAGGATGCTTCGACATTGTCTGGGCCGGTGGAAGCGAGGAAAATGGAGCCAATCAGAGCGTGCCCCAGCTGACGCAGAATTTGGACAACGTCTACCATGATTCGTGCTGGCCCGACGGCGAGTTCCACGCAAGCTACAGCCCGGCCGTTTGCCCGAGCGGATGGACGTATTACAGCATCCTTGCTGGCGATCCAACGGAAACAATTCTCCAGTGGACGTCTTCTACGGGTGCTTCTACGTCGTCTATAGTAACCTCGTACACGAGTCAAATCTCTGCCTTGTGCTGCCCTAGGTGAGGAAAGACGCAGTTTGCAACCGACTCTTTAGACGCGACAATTTTCTAACCCATCAAATATCTAGCGGGTTCACTATGGATGTTGTCACATGGTCCAGGGACACCCACATCCCGCACCCTTGCTACCGCACCATCACATCCGGCGAGCTCTCCCTCATAGTAACCCATGAAACCAACGGCGTTCCCACTCCCTTTGACGGCGCGGCCACGCTCGTGGTTCCCACGCCCTTGACCGTGTTTTGGCACGCCAGCGATGCCAGCACGCTGACGCCGCGGCCGCCTGACCTGCCCGAGAACTCGTTTGCGCCGTCGTGGGTGCCAGGCCAGCCGGTAGTGTTCCAAAATGAGCTCCAGTACGACGACTCGCCAAGGACTACTCGCCTGGCAACGGGCGTGTTTGCCGCCGTCATTGCGGTCCCCATCATCATCTTCCTTGCCATTCTCGGGTGCTGCATCTGCTGCTTCCGCTACCGGCGGCGGCGCGAGAAGCGCGAGATTGCCAAGGAGCAGGAGGAGTCGCAGGCGCTGGCGGTCGAACGGACGTCGACGCAGGAGCGCACCCCGAATCAGTCGACGGACGGAGAGGCGGAAGGGGTGGAACAGGGACGGCGACAGGAAGCGGCAGCGGTTCCTGTCGCGGCTGGTTCTTCGGTTACGGCCGGCCAAAGGAGCCCCCCGGATGCACAACCACATGCAGCAGACGAGCTGCCAGCTGGAAACACCATAGTGCACTCGCTGTCTGGTATTTCGAAACCTCCTTACCCAGGGCTGCCGACACATGGTTTCGACGGCATCGAAGAGCCGCCGCCGTACGCAGAGGCCGCGCCCAGTTATCCAATACACGCCAGGCCTGCGGCAACGCTGCCCACCCCTCCGACACAAGAACACACTGAACGCACGACACACCACGAGGGCACAAACCCGCCAGCAACATGATGCAATATACGAAAATACTTGTAACATTTAGCACATACCCAGAGCAGCCAGTCGGCCAAGGCGTGGCGCACTGTATATATAAAACAATCTGTACATATTTCATACTTGCTCATATGCATCGACCAAGACGTGGTGCACTGTATATAGAACAATCTGGACATACTTCATACTTGCTCTTACCCATCATCAGCGTCGCGGATTTACCTACCAAGACTCATCTTCCAAGAAGGCCTTGAGCTTGTCGTCGAGCCACTTGACATCCTCCGGGTTCGAGCCCGGACCGCCGGCCCTATAAAAGTCAGCAACGCCTCTTTATGCACAAGTCCATATAGGTGTATCTGTTACCAGTGTCCCCAGATGGACGGAAAGGGGATGCACTTTCCCCTACCCTCGGTCATGCACTTGACCTCGTACTCGGAGTCCTCGGGCGGAAAGTAGAGGTCCGTCTTGCCGGGGAGGACCAGCGTCTTGGCCTTGATGCCCGCCATGGCCTTTTCAAAGTCCTTGTTGTACGGCGCCTGGTCGGAGCAATCGGCCGCCTGCCACGTGTGCAGCATGTGCAGCATATTCTCCGGATCTGTCAACCGTCAGCCAACAGAAACGTCCCCCCCTACAAACCTTTTTTTGCTCACTCACCCTTTGACAGCGCCCACGCCTCCCAAAAGTTGACCATGAAGTCCTCGAGGTCCTTGAACCCCAGCGCGGTCTCGTACAGCCTGTCCCGGTAGAACTGCTGGCTGAAGCCCCAGCCGGCATACACCCTCCCGAGCGCCTTCAAGCCGGCCACGCGCTCCTCGTCGGACCAGTGCGGCGCATACGGGCCGACCTCGCCGCGCGCGCTGCCCGCGCTCGCGCCGCGCCGCGCCGCCAGCACCGCGCTCTTGACGCCCTCGAGGAAGACCTGGTTGTGCAGCGCGGTGCGCGCCGCGCCGCAAAACGGCACGCCCAGGTCCATGAAGTCGGGGAACTGCGTCAGCCACTGGTACGTCTGCCCGGCGCCCATGCTCCACCCGAGCACCATGCGCGCGTGCGCGACGCCGAGCCCGACCGTCACCAGCCGGTGCTGCGCCGTCACATTGTCCCGGACGGACACGTCGGGGAACTTGGCGCCGCTGCCGCGGCGCGCGCGCGTGTTGGACGGGCTCACAGACTGCCCGTTGCCGATGAGCGCCGGGATGATGATGAAGTACCGCGCGGGGTCGAGCGCCTTGCCCGCGCCGACGAGCCACTCGTTGTCCGCGATGCGGCCGCTGAACCAGGTCGGGTAGATGATGGCTGGGCTGGCCTTGTCGCCAAACGTCTTGTAGGCAATGTAGGCGTTGGGGATGGTCTCCCCGGAGGACAGGGTAAAGTCGCCCAGGTCAAAGGTGCTGAAGTCGTCCATGGCGGTGTCCATTGTTTTCCGTTGTCTGCTGGGGATGTTTTTGTCACGTTCAAGAAAGAAAGAAGAATAACAAGGTGGGAAATTGATGCATGAATGGGAGACGGCGCAGGCAGGGTACCTGACCTTTTTGTATTTATTTACATGCCGTCGACCCCTCCTCCTCGCGGCTTACAACGGCCAAGCTGTGGGGAAGCGGGCAGCCGGGACTAACCTCCGCATCGGCATGTACAATTTTGATAAGACAACATCCCGAGCTGCGCCCGATATGCGGGGGAAAGGACCCGACCAGCATCATGGTGCGGGGGTGTCTACTACGTCTGATACCATTTCCCTGGTCCCTTGGTCCGCGAGATGGCTTCTTTTTTNTTTT